CGAGATCAGAAGCCATGCGACTCACATCAGACAGGCTGAGCACTGCACTGCCTGTACTGGAACACACCCAAGCAGCTGGCACCCAGCGAACTCCGACAGGAGCGCCGCCGCCGGGAGCCGCCGTGCCCCAAAGCACCGGGCACCGCCCGACGCGTCCCGCACGGGGCAGGGCGGCCCGGGGGCGGTGTCCCGGCTCCCCCCGCCCCTCGCCGGCCCCGGACCGGCCCTGCCCTGCCCCACGTGAGCGGTCCCGCTGGCGGTCCCGGGGCTGCTGCCATGGAGCTGCCGGCCGTCAGCCTCAAGGTAGGGGCTGCTCCTGCCCCCGGGGCTCGGGAGCGGGGCCAGCGGAGCGGGAGGGCTGCCGGGGCGGGCTCGGATGGGTGCTCCCTGTATTCCTCCTCTTCTCTTGCATGTTCCCCACTCTTGTGCCTGGTGCAGTTTCTGGCTGAGGCCCTGCTCGGAGCTGCGGAGCCCTCTGAGGGGGAAAAACTGATGTTTCTACTTTTTTTCGTCACGTGGGCAAAGGCTGCAGAAGTACTGAAGGCTATGAAGCCGAGTCGGGGGAGGTTGAGGTTGGATATCAGGAAAATTTTCCCCAGAGGGTGGTCARGTGGAAGAGGCTCCCCAGGGCAGTGGTCACAGCACCAAGCCTGTCTGAGTTCAAGGAGCGTTTGGACAWCACTCTCAGGCACATGGTGGAATTCTTGGGGTGTCTTGTGCAGGGCCAGATCTTCCTGATGGGTCCCTTCCAACTCAGCGTATTCTGTGATTCTTGGTTGTTAAACCTACCAGGTGATGATGGTGCAAGTTTGCTCTTACTTCAGGGATATTGCTSAAGTGGCCAAGGACTCGGCAGAGACAACAGGTGGTTATTAACTAATGTCTGTGGAGGTTTCCAGCTCAGCTGACCAGAGCTAAACCAAGATAAACACTGCACAAGATCCTGGGGAGGCAAAAGTTTTTGCTTGTCAGGCAGAGTATCTTGGAAAGATAAGCCTGCTTACTTTGGGGTTRTCATCTGATAGATAACTGCAGTTGCTTCTCTGCTGGGGAGGGGAGGCTCCAGTTGAGGGCAATTTGGAAATTTGTGTGAATATCTGATAACCAGAGAAAGGAGAAATAAGAGACTTAACCACAGTTACGTTACATTTTTGGGAGAAGCACTTCCTTGTGGACAAGCCACTGGATGTTAAAATCACACTTTGTTTGCTTTTCATGTTGGTTTTTGATATTGATGCTGTCTGTGCTACCAGAGAGGTGACATTTTTCTCTTTCTTTTTGTCATTCACATTTTCAGAGCCCTGAGATTTCTAGGTGTGTGTTTCCTTTCCCTGCTTCACTACTTTGTGATYTCATTTAATACAGCATGGTTCACGTGCATTCTTTGGTTAAAGCTTTGCTCAGAGAGTGAAAGCATCACTGATCACATCAGGTTTTTTTWTTTTTTTGCTGGTGATTCATTAAGCTGTGAGCTGTGGCCTATGCTGCCTATGGGTTGGATGGGAGGATAGTATTATCTCGACTACATTTATTAATTCAGCTTTGTACAGGAAGGCTTTCATGTGGCTTTGTTAAATAATATCTTGGTGTTCGTATAATGATGAATACTCCTCTTACTAGTTCACCAAGAAAAGCAACTTCTCTTGTTAAAGGCAAGTAAGCAAATGGATTTTTCAAGGCCTGGCATGTGGATTRTATTACATTCTGGAAACTAGCTGATACTTTGCCCTGACAAGTTTGGACTATTGTGTGATTCTCAGGGCACTGGGAAGATTAAAAGACCTTGCTCTGTTTTTTTAATTTGGTTTAATTTTTTCCCATGCTAAAACAACAGTGAAAACTAAGGACATTTGATTAAAATGTTTACCAACATAAAATACATGTTTGACCATGGCAAAYGGAGATAGGGGAGCTGAAAAGCACTGACTTTTCAATAAATGAGTCACCAAGACAACAAAAYGAACATGTTTCAGACAACCATTCCCCAATCTCTTACTAGATAAGAGTGAGCTCATCCTGGGAAAACTGTTTTCAGCATTAAGAAATTCCTTATTGTCGAGTCTGCCAGCTCTGCTCTGGAGCTGAAGAGCTGGGGAATAGGGAGTTAATAGTTGTACCTTCATCTTCATACTGTTCCTGAGTTAGGGTCTGATTCCCTGAAAAAATACCACAAAGGTGAGAAAGATTCTTACTCAGAAAGGGCCTGGAAATAACACACACTGCTACTATTCACTGGCATGATCTGCTTATGGGTTCTGTGAGATTAGAAAGATGAGCCTCGTGATAGAAGTAGCTCCAAGAAAGCTGCATGACTGAGCTGTGTTTGTGCCAGAATAGCAGTATCTTAGCCTTGAGGTCTCTCTTTAAGCTATTGGCAGAGCTACAAAATTAACATAGCAGGCTTTGCTCAGGAGTGGATGGGGAACATGCTCATGGAACAGGATTTACTGACTCGGTTCTAACAGCCATGCTCAGCAAAGCATGTGGGAAGCAGCATAGCTATACTTTTGCCATGACAACTTGACACCTATGATTATTGAAATAATCATGCAGAGTCTCAATATACAACATTTGACTTTGATCAAGCCTGAACAATGCCCTACAATCCATGTGCCTGGAAACACACATTTTGTGCTCAGGCATTTTAAAATGCTAAGTCACAGAATCAGGGAATAATAGAGATGTCTGTATGTCATGTGGTTCAACCCCCTGCTTAAAGCAAGGCAAACTGCAGGTTTAGATCAAATAGTTCAACTCAAACTGAGTTTTAACATAAGAATAAAGCTATGACAGCCCCATTGGATAGCCTGTCCCACTGCTTAAGCACTCTCATTATTATCACTCTGTTATAATAATGAGGAGTGTTCTCACAGGTGGCCACTCAGACTTGTATTTTGGTTTTGTGTGTTTTCAGGTGAAAGTCACTCATGGAGCAGATGAGCTCACTCTAAAATAAAAYTAGTAAAATARAAATGCAGATACAACAAGAAAATAWTTGTAMTTTGGAACRGTTTCATTTTTAACTTGCTCAAAATTCAACCTTGTGCTAAGTTCTGTACTGAAGCATGTTTAAAGCTTTCCAATTCCAAAGAGTTTCCCATCTAATGAGACCCTGGCAGACCTAGGTTCTTTTTATGCTTGGCAATTAGTTCCGTGGCATGCTGGGATTTGCAGGGGAGGTAGGAATTCCCCTTGGCTCTCCCCAGTTTCCAGTGGGATGCTTTTAATCACATGGCCATCCTTGTTCCCAGAAGAGATGGGGACAAAGGACCCACCTTTCTTATTTTCTGCTCTCACCACTAGTTCAAGTCTTAGGAGTTATTTTCTCAAAATATTGAGAAAATTGGGGAAATATTTTCTCAAAAAGAAGAAATCTATATGTCTCTTAGGTACAGACTTAAGTGCTGGGACAGATGGAAAAATTTTAAATTCTTCTGCTGTCTTATCAGGCAACTGCCTGCAAATTAACTAATCTCACACAGTAACTGTAGCTTTTCATTAACACTATATTTTCTGARTTAAATCATATCAACACCACCAGCCAATTCTATAGTATGCTGAAGATCTGTCAGGTAAATTGGACTAATAACCAAGAAGGGAATATCGTTTTTATTTCAGCAGTCCCTCATAGTATCAGCTCTAGTTTAGCTGACTTTATGCTGATGACTAAACATACTTCATAATTTAATAACTGCAGTATTGATCTAGACAGCTTTAAAAAAAGCCCACCCTGCCTAATTATGTTAACTGGTGAGCTTTGAGGGGTCTTGTGGGTATGTAACATRCAATTAAATACTGCCTAATTAAGAATTTTCCTGATGTTGTGATAGTCTCTTGAGTAAACGCTATTTGCATGTCTCCATTCTTATCCAGGAACATCTTGTATTTTACTGATTAGCAATTTCTCCCTTGTGTCTGTGGTGCAGTTTGGGAGCAGGGGAAGCAGGGGCTGATGGTGGTGAAACATTTTGTAAGCTTTCATGAACAATTAAAAAAATGAAGAAAAATCTGTCTAAACAGTGTTTGAAGTTASAGCAAAGTCTAGTGAGTGCTCAGCAGCTCTGATGGAGCATTGCAGGAAGAGCAGGAAATAAGACATTTGCATTGTTGGTGTCCTGACAGAGCAGTGTGATCCGCAGCAGCTGGGCCACCCCTGTGGCTTTCCTGGCTRTGCTTCACTTATGTCACAGCTTCACTCTCTTCTTCAGCGACTCGTTTTAAGTTAGAGCATGGAGAGATGTTTTAAGACAAGGAATGTAGCAGGGTGTCAGTAGATCTTAATTTGCTTTTTAGTGTCTTAATGTTCCTATCTGCATACATCTTTCCTGTATCCACTGCGTAACGTAGGCTTTTGCTACATACTAATTTCCCWWTTTTTTTTTTCTTTGGGGGRTGTTATGAACCAGTTTAAACACAGAGGAGCAAAGTAAAGTAAGTCTCTGTGTATAAAACGGAAAGAACTTTGAATGTTCAAAATATTCCCAAAAAGCAAGATAAAAAGCAAATGAGATTAAATGTTGATGCAAAAAAAAAAATGGATACTAATCCAGCTGGCTGGATTACATCCAGCTGATACACTGTATGTTGCCAATACCCTATATAAAAACTTATAACAATATATGAAAAGGCCATTATTGATAATATGTTGAAAGCTATTACATTGTATATTGATAATATGTAAAAAGCTATTACATTATATATTGATAATGTGTAAAAAAAAAGTTATATAAAGTTTTCAATCAATAGGTTTCATAAGCACCTTGTAACTTTGACTTAAACCACAGGTATCATTTTCACAAATGTTTAGAGAGCAAATATGAATAATCTCCCTTTGTTGAATTGACCAGCAAGCCATAGATATAGAAAGTCTGAAGTGATACGTTGTTCTCATTTGCTCTCTGAATAAACATTGTAGGTTATGTTTCCTTGGATACAAAAATGGCAAGTGGTGGTGAAGAGAATCTTTGTATCACTTATTACAGTACTATCCTTTCTTCTAGGATTTGTCCCCTTGAGCACAAGGATCAGAATCTTTAAGGACATGTGCAAAGTACAGAATTTGTTTCCTCATTATCTTACTGCTAGTCAGGGCACTTTTGGAATTTGGATGTGGTGGYTTCACTGGGAATGAAAAGAGCTGTATGCTTTGGCAGGATCAGGTTCACAGAGTCCTGGAAGAAGCCTTCAGGTCTGTTAATACTGCAGTGACGTTGGACCACTGCTTTGAACAGACTGGAAGGAGGTAAAAAGGATTTGCTGATGACTGGGGTGAAATTCTGGGAGCTGCAGGCATGGCTGTCCATGAGTTTTTTGGTGATGGGATGCCAGATTGGTCACATATAAACAGTATTAGTTCAGTGTGAATCAGATTGCCTGGCTTTCTGTGCAAACTCTTCTGAGGTTCCAAAATTAATAACCCATTTAGAAAAGGCTAAGTGGTCCCTGAATCAGCTGTTGACAGGGATGACAAGAAGAATGAATGACTACAGTGTAGCACCACAGGAAATACTCAGCAACAGATACAGAGAAAAATGGCTTTGTCTTCACTGTCCCAATTGCCTCAACATCTTTCTGTGTTGATTCATAGGTCTAGGCCACTCTTYCACCCATCCCTTGGGGACAAGATGGTAATTTCACATTGAAATGGTCATCCCAGAGTTCTTCCAACATGCTGACCTGTCTTCCTGTTTGTTTTTTTTTTATAGGCTATCATTCTGGTACATTGGCTGCTCACAGTGTGGTGAGTGATTAGTGTCTGGCCTGGGGGAGAAGAGAGTATTCCTTCAAACTAGGAATGGGATGTTCCCTGGGAATCAGCACTCCCTGTTTGTGCCTGTGTGCAAGAAGATCCTAAATCTAAGAGTGAGGTGTTTGTATGGGAACAGGGATGAATGCTAACTCTTGCAGGCTTATTGGTATGTGAACTGGAATTTTTTTTTGGTCTCGTTTGGCAGGGGATGCATGAATTATTTGTTGCCACACTCCTATGCCTGGGGAAATTTCAGTGTCCTTGCAATGGGGATCTGGGCCATTGTGCAGCGAGATTCCCTTGATGCCATAATGATGGTGAGTGTAAGAGTGTTGGTCTCCCCCAGGCTGCTCAGGAGGAGGGTGGAGGCCAGAGACTTTGAGCCAGAGATGATTTTCAGCTGTTCCCAATACAGCAGTGAACAAGTCAATTCCCTGTTTGGGTGGGTCTGGTTTTTAAATCTATAAACCATGGTGAGAAGCATTCACTGAGCTCTGTAAACCATGGTGAGAAGCATTCACTGTCAATTATTTTTCTTCTCAGAGATGAGAAATACTTGGTTCTTGCTTTTTTTACCTGTTTGTTGTGACTTGTAATGCCAGATGAGGACTCAAAGTGTTTGATACGCCTCAGTTGGAGGGGCTTTGTAAAACTCTTCTTTGAACATTGAATAGACTGGCAAACAAAAATAAACAATTCTAGAATATATTATGAGAAGATACCTGACAGATGTGAAGAAAATGCATAAAATACAAGATCATTCATCTAGGAGTATCCATCTACCTGGGGCAGTACCAAGAGTGCTGTGTGATACTGGRGTGAAGGGTGGTTGGGTAACACATCTCGCAGGAAACAGATGCTGTCKCTGACTGTTACTTCTGGTGGTTAAACCCTTGTTCTGTTCATGTCCCATTCTCTCTCTTTGTTTCCAGTTCCTGACTGGCCTGCTGCTCACAGTCCTCACAGACATTATTCACATCTCTATCTTCTACCCTTCACATGACTACCTCAGTGATGCGAAGCGTTTCAGTATAGGCATGGCCATCTTCAGCCTCCTCCTCAAACCTGTGTCCTGCTATTTGGTGTATCGAATGTATCGGGAGCGTGGAGGAGAGTACACCTTTAACATAGGTAAGATGCTTTCTCTGCTTCCATGTCAGCGTGGGCCACCTCCTCAGGTGTTAAGGGGACTGCCCTTCAGGTGTTAAGGACTTTGGTCCCTTCAGTCTGAGCTCTGTTCAATTGGATTCTGCCCTCCTTTCCAGGCAGATGGAATGCTTGCTCTCCCTTGCTCATGTCTATTCTCCCATTTTGTGGTTCTGGTGTGTCTTGGGCCTTAAATTTATATTCTTCCTCTCTCCCCTTACAAACTTCTCCTCATGAAGTTTTTGACAGCTACATTGCCCACAATGGTGTTGTGAGAGGCTTTTCTGCTCTTCCTCCTTCTGCATATGTGTGTGTTTCCCGGAAACTTCTGGATGTTCTCTCTTTGTCAACCCTTTCTTTTCCTTCTGGAGAAAAGTAGAAGCAGTATTTCCTCTAGCTGGATTATGAACAAGAGGRAAAGAAGCTGGATTTCTMACTCTATGCTTTCTGTGTCKTGTTTACCTTGATTGCTTTGGACTTTGTTCCTCCTCTGGAATAATGTTTACCTCATGGGAATTTGCTTAGAGACACTTCATTTTTGCTGTGGATGTACTTGATAATGATAATGTGGAAGAGTTGCCAGAGAGGATGGGCTGTGGCTAGATGTTCTGRGCCTTAGCTTTGCCAAGGATGCCTAGTGCGAGCTCATGCCTGGGCAGCTGCCAGGGATTGATTGTTTGCCAGGGATTGTTGAGTTCATGCTGGCAAAAGCTGCAGCCTGGCACAGTTCTRTCTGTCATCCTAAGAATGCTGTGCARGATAAAACATRGTGTACCTGCATTACAGTGTCTGGAAGTTCTCTCGTTCTGCTTTGGTGTTAGCAGAGATCACACTCCTGTGAAAAGAGGTGGAAACCTGCAGAGGAGGAGAAGCCATGGAAGGAAACCATAGCTTAGGGCACTGTGTGATATTTGCATCTCTCTGCTAGTGTAGTGTGCATGTCGTCTCTGCCAACTACTTGTGAAAATCCAGATGGATAGGTCTCACCTGGGTCAGGAGGCATGTGAGTCACCTGCAGTGCCTTGTTTGTGCCAGTTTTTATTAGCTGCTCACTGTGCTTGTCATTAGGATTCAACATGTGTATCCCATAGAAAGTGTAGRCATCATTGAGGAGTTTGTTTGCTTGGAATTTGGGAGCACTTCTTTTCAACCACATTATCCCAAACCAAGAATCTCTCAGCACAGTTGGGAATTCAGACACTTTGTAGTTTTATATCCTCTTCTAACTGTCTTTCTTACAAGATTTTYAGTACTGTGTTGCTTTGTGCTGAATATGCTTGACAAATTTCTTCTCATTTTCCTACTATCTGGCATTTTCTTTTGAACCCAGCAGTATTGAAATTTTTCTGGCTTTTTTTGTCTTGTTTTCCTTTTATATCAAGTCGCTCTTTGTTGCTTGGCAGCATCCTTGCTACTTGGAACAAAYCCCTCATAGTCTGGTACCTATCTGTGTTTCAGGTTGCTTTCTCCCCATGGCAAATGCCCGGCCCATAGATAAAGAGCTGTCCATGCACATTCTCTGTCTCTGCCTCCTCTTTCTGCAGTTATCCCCTGAACAGTAACATGATTTTGCATAGAYAAATTGTTCATAGTGCAGTTAGGAGCACTGTTTGATTCAAATTTGGTGCTACACTTGAGGCATAGCTGCCTTGTTGGGAAGAGTGGTTTATGGATGTGTCATGCCTTTAAATTTATGCTGTCAGCTAGCTATGCTTCCTGCAGCTTCTGGCTCTGTCTGTTCATTTTTCCAAAAGCTCTCATACACTTTATCTTGCTGAAATACCCGGTTGCAGGAACCTGTTGTGCTGCTGTGGGGTATTGTGGGTCTTGCTTTTCACACAGCCATGTGGCTACTAAGAGGGCAGTTCTCAAGGAAAGAACAGGCATGTTGGAAGGGTGCCTTTCCTCATCTGCCTGTTTAATGAGGATCACAGACCACAGGTGCAGGGAGCTGGTAGAATGTATCTCCTGAACTGTTGGTTGTGCTTTTGCCTTTGTCCCAAGCTTGTTCCCTTCCATCTCTWTTCAGGTGTCAGCAGTGCGGGCCAGAACCGCAGCACTTACGAGCCCATCGATCAGCCAGACGCGCCTCCACAGTGGCCTTCCTCCAGCAAGGCAGCCCAGCCCCCGTACTGAGGCACCTGCAGCCCAGGATGGACACTGCCCTCACCCAGCCGAGCCTTCCATTCTCCCCGTGGAACAGCACCTGCTGCTGGGCAAACAGAAGATCTGATATTTCTTTTGCCTCCCTAAAGGTTAGGCAGATGGGTTCTGCAGTAAKTCCAGAAGATCTTGGAGGTGTCATGTTAAAGCACTGTGACTCATTGTAATCCCAGTACTTTTCTTTTCCTCCTCCCCCTAAATCCCTCCTCTGTACATGTGACTGGATGCACCTTCTGCAGTCTTCCAGATCTTCTGCTGTGTTTCCTCTTTGTTGTAAGAAAACCACTCAAAGTACTCCYGGACAAGCAATCTTTAAAAGGCTTATGGACTGCCCTAAAACAGTACAGTGTAGCCTGATTTTRTGTAGATATATTTCCAGGAAACATCTGTCAGTTCCCAAGATCTGTTTTTGATGGCATTATTTAACTTCTTGTGCTCCCGGTATCTGGTATTGTGTTTTATTAACTGATGCTTTTATGCAAGTTGAACATCTTTCAGGATACTTAAAATGACTGTTGAATGTAATYATAAATACTTTGTGCCTTGAAATATCCTTTTGCCTTCAGCTGCCTGTCTTAACAGAACTTGAAATGTTACATTTTTCTAAGAAAACCATAAAATKAATACAGTTTTTCTGTGTTAGAAAAAGTTACATTGGTCACTTATGTCTCATTTGAAAATGTAGTTTTTTCTGAGTGCTTGGGACTGTAGCCAGGCAGTCTGGGAGGGTCATTATGGGGGAAGGGTCTCTGATGGCATTTAGTCTAAGCTTTACTCTGAGAAGTAGAAGATACTGCTTACAATTGTATGGGTGGGAGGGTGGGCTTGTAAAATGGGCGTTGCAGAAGGATGGATTTATTTACACTGTCGAGGTGAGTTCCATTGGGTGTGACAAGCTGTTGTTATGCATGATAAATCTGTCCTGCTGTGGCCTTCAGGTAAGATTCTAAAAAAAAACCAAAACAACCAAAATCCCAGAAGCAAGCAAGCAAACAAATTTACAGGAATTCATTTACAGAAGAAAAGGAGTATGTCAGCTTTGGCAGAATTCTAGTGCTAGGAAGATAGGTATTTTCCTGAAGCAAGTTCATTTTCAAAGTTTATATCTATTATTTTACAACTGCATTTGTCTCGACAAGACCTGCTGCTGTGTTGATTCTTCAGTAACCAAGACCCATGTTAACTTTGCTTTAACCTCCAGAACCATTCCACTTGTATTTTTTTAAAACCAAGGAGTTTTCTCCCARCTTTGATCACTTCAAACATAAGCAGATACTTCCTCTACTCTGCTGCACAAGCACTACAGTGACGTGGTATACCTGGTTCACACACATGGTAAATGCCGGAGAAGGGTGATAGTTGTCTTTACTCTCTCAGAAAGGAGTGTTGTGCATTTATTTTACAGGCTTATATATAATAGAGCACCAATATAGGAATTGGTCTGTTCTTGTGATTAGATAGCAAATGGGGAAAGAGTAGGCAGAAATTGCTGGGACTTGTGGCATTGCAGAGCCTTTATGGAAATGGGTTTTTTCAGCTCTTTAGAAGTGTACAGTGGCAGCACAGATCCCTGAATAACACATTTAAATACGCAGGGTTGTTTTTTACCTAGACCCATGGATGACAGAATGGAAATCACTGCTTTAAATGCTGTGGGGTTTGCAAGTAAGCACAGTCAGCTATATCTAGGGAGGTCTCCCCAGCTCTTGTRCATTGGAAATACCCATCTAGATGACCTGCCATGTGTTTTTCTGTGGAAAACTCAGTACATTTGGGAGCTCTGGGGAGCAGAGCATGGCAGGAGTAGCACTCTGCTTACAGTGCCTCAACTATACCTATTTTGGGCAGTAACTCAGAGGTGATGCTAAAAACAGACCTCTCTCCTGGCTGAGGACGAAGAGAGCGTTTGTACCTGGTTCAAAGGTGTGCATCAGGGGTTCACATAGCCGCTGCGCTGGAGCATGGCCTCGCTGGCTTCACCGTGGGACTGTCGTGGGCTCTTAGTGAGATCTCCTTACCCACACAGGTGTGATGCTCCATTCGGCTGGTTTTGCTTTRTTTTTTAAAATTCTCGGGTCCTGCTGTGCCGGTACATTTGGGAGCTCTGGGGAGCAGAGCATGGCAGGAGTAGCACTTGGCTTACAGTGCCTCAACGATACCTATTTTGGGCAGTAACTCAGAGGTGATGCTAAAAACAGACCTCTCTCCTGGCTGAGGAGGAAGAGAGCGTTTGTACCTGGTTCAGGTGTGCATCAGGGGTTTCACAGAGCCGCTGCACTGGAGCATGGCCTCGCTGGCTTCACCGCGGGACTGTCATGGGCTCTTAGTGACATCTCCTCACCCACACAGGTGCGATGCTGGTTTTGCTTTGTTTTTTAAAATTCTCGGGTACTGCTGTGCCCGGACAGCTCCCCAGGACTGAGCCCGGCCCGCCCAGGGCCTGTGCCCCCCTCAGGGCTGGCAGAGAAGGCGGGAGACATGGTGGCTGTCCTGAGGCGCTGCCCGGGACAAGCRCGGCTCCCGCCCGGGACGAACCCCCTTCTCCCCGGCTTTAATTAACCACGGCCCAGAGCGGCTTTCCCGGGCCATCTGCAGCTCCGGTCAGCGGCTAATCGCGGGGATAAGCTGCTTAGGGAGCCCCAGCTGGAGCGGACGCGGGGCGCGGGGCTGAGGGCTGGTTGTGGCCGCCGAGGAGATGCCGCCTCAGACGGCTGCGGTCAGTCCCCGGGGCCCGGCGGGGCAAACGGTGCCTCTYGGCGGCAGTAAGTGGAGACATCGGGGTTGCTGAGCAGGGCTGGGGATACATTTGAGGGGTTTCACCTCCCAGGACAGCGGAGGATGCTTTGGTGGAAGCGCTGGGGAGGGAAGAACGCTTGTGTGTGCCTGTTGAGCTCATGTTRTCATGCGGCGGCAGCGGTGGTTTGTTTGGTTTGTAATTCTGAAACTGTTTGGGAAAAGCTTGCTAAGGCAACTCAAGTGTGATCTYGGAGTAACCACTGGCCCCTACTTGAAATGTGGAATAGATCAGCTTTTTCAGCAGGGATGGGGAAATAAGCACTGTGTGTGCGGCGTGAATGTGTTTATTATGGGTCTGGCATGGTTACGTATTGCTGAASTGGCATTTGCTTAATGGAGCTTGATTTTCTTTTCATGAACTGTGCTGTTTACTTTCTTTTGCTTATAACAACAGAAATAACTTTATCATCTTCACTTTTATTTGCTGAGTTGAATTTGTTTCAGGTTTTAATGCATTAGTGTGTTGCTGCWAAGTGTTTATATAGTAAGCATGCATTAAATGTTTTCGTTGGAATCATAAAAACKAATACATAAAATCCATTGGTCATGGATTTTGCAGTTCATAAAATGTGCAGTTTGCCTTGAGTAGCTCTTTTGGCCTCAGATRAAGTTTTAAAAAAGCACTTCATGAAAGCTCATAAGTGAGATTAACCTTACTGCTTAAAAGTGGTTATGTTAAAGTCCTGAGTAGCAATTTTGGAAGGCAGACAAACATATTGTGAAAGGATGTTATTTCTTCCAGATCTCAAAGAGACTGAAATTAGGAATGAGTGAGGTGAGTTGAAATAACCATGGTGATGTGTTGAGAACTGGTACCTAGCACAAAGAACTGAAACAGCTAAAAAAATCACAAGTTATCAAGAAAATAGATTATTATCAAGAAAATAGATTCTGTCCAGTTTCTTGAACATAATGTAGTCCAGAGCCAGGTTTTGAGTGTTCACAGAGCAAAACAACACTGAAAAACATGGTGCGTTTATGTCCTTTTACAATTTAAATCCTTTGTAACACCCTTTTGTGATACATTGCTTGTTGATTGGMTATTTCTGGGATGCAAGGAGTGCTTCCATGGAACACCAGTCCGCTGCATTTTGTGGTTATACTTCATGCAGTGATAGGCACCCTAAGGAAGGCAGCTGTGCTTTGTCTGTTCACTCTGTAGTTGCCAACTTCAACTTGTCTGGAAAAAATAATGGGATCTTTCCGTTCGTGGCACCCTCGGTGGTGTATGAAAGGCAGTAACAGCAGTTCCCAGGGATAATTGCAACACTGCCTGACTGTCCCCTGCTGCTTTAGGGGCTGTATTTGCTTCCCAGATTGTGGTGATTACTGAAGGAGTTTGCATGTGAGAGGGACAAGCGAGCTGTTACAAACAGGGACAACTGAGCCTCAAATGCTCTCTTAGAAGWGAATGAGATAAACACAGTTTGGAAACAGTGTGCAATTTGACAGGAGGCTTTCTGGGATTAGAGTGTGTTTGAAAAAGACAATGGGCATTGATTTCATAGGCCATTGCTGTCTCTTCTCAGATTGACTAGGGGGTTTTAAGATGATAGAGATGTGTGTGTCTTTATCCAATACCATTTTCATTTTTTTTAAAAGAGACTGTGAAAAAGAATAGTGGTTAGAATGACAGTGATTGACAACTTGCTTTTAAAATCAGAGGGAATGAAAGCAGAGTCCTTTCAAATTGCACTTACCTGTTAGCAGCAACTTTAGAATCCATTCTCAGCATAAATTGTATATGTATAACCATCAGACTTAGTGGCTAGACTGCAAATTAGGTCTCCCAGCTGTGCTATAAGTCTTCCAGATCAGGGGACAGTGTAGCTTCTCTGGATATGTAAACATGGTTTCATCCCTTAGTGTGGACGAGAACAAATAGTCTGTGTAGCCTTGAACCTTTGCAGAGCTCTAGCATGATATGTGGACGAATTTTCACTTGTAAAGCAGTTAAAGAGGATCCTAAGTCGTGGCCCTACATTTCCTATGAGCCCTGGAGAAGATATGAGTGTGGAGGAGATCTGAGTTGGATTTCCCATSAGTGATGAAGAGTAAGCATTACACTCCAGCTGTAACCATGTTGGCTCTGATTTCTCAGAAAACATTTTATTTTAGATCTGTTGTTCATTGGTGTCTTGTAGATCTGGTGAAAGCATCCCGGAAAAGCTGCTACACACTACTTTGTCTTTGCAGCACGATAACTCAGCCTTGCTAGCWACAAATTCTTGCTGAGGCTGCAGGTGCATAATGCTGGAAGTCTTTGTTTTCCAGGTTTTTGTTGAGAACTGAATAATTCCCTTTCAGTCATTCCTATTCTGCCAGACATGATTGTCCACTGAAAGGCAGGAAGAGAGTAGTATCTGTAACACTTTCAGGACTGAGGCTGGTGAATGAGAGACAAGGCATTCACAAGGAAARTGTACCCAAAGACTTTTGCAAACTAGGCAAGATGAGATAGGAAGTACGCATAGTCCTTGCTTATATTTCTTCTTCTTTTTCTTCAGAGCAAAGAAACTTTCAGAAGAACATGAATTTTGATCTGTGTTTGGGCACTAGAAGTCACATAGACATTTCTCATYCCTGGCCTGAGATGCAGCATTTGGTGTAAGCCCAGAGACAGCAGCACAGGGCTRGCTGTGTACCGCACCTCTGTCAGATGGGAAGAGATCCCAGTCTGAGACAGACTAATCTCTCCTGTCCTTCTCAGCCATTCCCGGATACTGCCAGCCAGTTCTTCAGTTTCTGCTTGTTGCAGCAGAATAATCTGTGCTCTAGGCTGCAGCARCACAGCTCTAAGTGTGTGGCTCATAGGAGTCCCTGTCTTGCTTTGTCAGTGAATCTGCCCCAGAGGCACTTGCACCTTGAGGCTTATGGTTTAGAAAGAAGGAGTGAGAGTACTGACTTTCCTCAACAACACCATCAGGARGCAAAGGCAGCTGATAGCTGCTCCATACACACTGCCCACCATCACTATTCAGAAAGAAGGAACAAGAATTGTGACTACCCGGTGGAAAACCAACAGCATCAACCTTGTATGGATTCTGTGGACCCTTTACTGGTCAATGCCCATTTGTCATCTCATGCTGCTGATTTTCCTCTTAGGTGTGAATTAGTGGTGAGTCTCTCTTCAAGTTGCTCGAGTGAAAGTGTGAATGATTGTCACAGTTCAGCCCTGACCCTGGGGAATCGTGATCCATCTAATTTGGAGTCCTTTCAGTATCTTTTGCAATCCTCACAGATTTCTTCTAGCTTGTACTGTTCAGTCCAGAGGCTTAAGCAAGAAAGTGCTTTGATGGGGATACGGGCCTCCCTCCCTCTGGAGCGTGATTCTTCTCCAGTCATTGGCCATTCATGCTTTGCTTCTAGTTATTCAGGTCCCAATGTCCTGACAATGGGAGAACAACTAGCTGCAGTAAAAAACAGTGCTGCTCAGGCAAGATTGAAATGGGGCATCCCATTTGCTAAGGACTGGAGCCTTAGTGCAGTGACAAGGGACTTCAGTCCTGCTCAGCCTCTCTCTGTCTCTCACAGGTATGAATACATTGGCTCAAACATGTGGAGAACCAAAATTTCAGGTGGCATCCAACCACAAACACTTGCTTCTGGAGTGGGCTCTGGCAGGCTAGTGGATACAAAAGCAAATTCCTCCATCAGTTGGTCCCCTTTCTATAGATGCCAGTCCCTGGTAAAGACATCTCTGGACACTTGTAGTCTTTATGTTCACAGAAAAAGTCATTTTCCTGAAAAGGTTGTTAAAGGAGAAGAGACATCTAATAAGGTGTCTCCATGTATTGAATCTTTAAAGAAAGACCTTCCAKCCAGTCTGTATCCAGAGGGTCTGCAGGTGTCACTGGAGACAGATCTGGGGGGGACTCAGATGAATGTTGGTGTAGCCATGTATGGGACTCCTACGGAAGTGTGTGTGAATGTCACTTCTCCTCCTGGAGATAAGGAGTTTAGACCAGGCCAGCAGCTTAGTGTTAAATCTGTAGAAGTCAACAACTCTTGTGTTAAGTGYAGCAAAGAGTCAGAAGAGATGTGCTGCTCCAGACCACGAGCAGCCAGAAGAACGGCTGTAGTGGGCAGCAGCCAGTCCAGCCCCTTGGGTACACAGGCTGAAGAAGGCTTTGATGAATATTGTGATGTAGACTGTATGAACATGAGCAGAGAAGGAGGGAGAAACAAATACTCCTGCCAAAGCATCTGGAKGAATTTGGAAGCTGATGCCAATCTTGAGCAGTCTGAAGAATATTCTGTGGAGAGGAATGCCAAAGAACCACAGTGCTGTGAAGAAGAGAGCCAGACACAGAAGACTATGCCCAGAGAGGTGAGGGTGTGCTCACTGCAAAGCATCCCTGTTCACAGGCATTACTTGTTTCTGCTACTTGCTGGAAGTGCAGACTTGAGGTACAAGTGATGGGGATGCTTGTCCTATAGTTTTTTCCTGTCACTGAATGGCCAGAATCTCCTCTCTTACAGTCCTGCTTCATCCCAATGAAGTATGCATCTTTCCATCTCACGTGCTTCTTCCAGCTTGTCAACTTGGTTGGTTTTGGGAATGTAAATATCTGTTAATGTTCTCTGATCTGCATGCTGAGGGAAAGCATTAAACTGGTCTTTACTTCGGGAATTTTTGCATGGCCCTGAGATTTGAGACTTTTTGTGCTTTTTTGTGTCTGAAGTATGTAAGAATATTCACAGCRCAGTGGTGTGGGAGCAGTGTCCAAGGCATCTGACATAATACACGACCTTGAGGCTCTGGTCTCCATCCAAAGTGATACGTGCCACAAATTCTTCAACAGAGTGCAACAATGTGAATAATTGTGAATTACTGTCTCTTGTCTGTTTGCAGATCTCAGAGACCAGCTTCTGGTCATTGAAGGTGAATGAAGAAAGGTAAAAAGACTCTGTTTGAGTGTGCTGGTAGTTAACAGAGGAGAACTGGAAAGTGGCTAAGGAGCTTTGTCCCTGGGAACATTTGGGTTTAGGACTTAGCCTGCATTAATCTGCCTTGATTGGCTGAGGGGCTGCATCCTTTTCTTTCCAAAAGGTTGTCATTTAGAATGGACCATGATCTAAAAAATAATTTCTGTATCTTTTCAGTTCTGTCTTCTAAATTCAGCCTTGGTTGTTGCTAGCAATGAAGGAGGGTTGGTACCATCAATGCAACTCTTCAATGCAGCACATTCCAGTGTGCTCATTGCACAGTTAGTGAAGATCAAGAGCTAGACTTACCCATGAGATGGAATTCAAATTTGTGGTTAAGTTGTAAATGACATTGCTATCAGTTTAGCAACCGTGATTCCTTGATTTGTTGTGAGATTGCAGGTTTTCCATTCTTTAGAGAGAATTACTTGAAATAACATCTTTACAACTTGGTCGCTGAACTCTGATTGCCACCTCCRGGCTGATTTAACTTTCCTTTCTGTTAACTGGAACTCATCTCTGTTTTTTGTTTTTAAGTTTCTGGCACTTGTGTGACAGACAAATCCTTACAAGGTGTTTCCAAACTTGGAGGAGACATACCCTTCGGAAGAGGGCAGCCAGGCAGCGTTACAGACACCAGCTGCTTCGGAAGGGCCTTGCTGCTCTGCAGTGGGCTGTGCACCAGAGGAGGACACAATTAGAGGTGGCCCAGSAGAGACACACTTCAACTCTGCTAGCTGCCAGCTTCCAGAGGGTRAGCACTGGCTAGGGACAGCAGTGCCATGAACTTTCTGCTRCGCRGTCAGAGAAGGCACAAATCCTGTKTSGATAGGAAGGAGGAAGGAGTACCCTGTGTGAAATTCAGTGATGCAGACCCCTGGTACCAATATTCYRTCTGCAGTTTGTTCTAATCAYGTGGTTYCTTCTTCAGTGGAAGGAAGCTGTGRCAAAACGGAGCAAGAAGGAAGCTCTGCAGCCCAAACCTTACTCTTACACCCAAAGTTCATCAACAAAGGTTTTTGGAGTAGGAAGATTAGCAGCTATGACAACCTCAGCTCAGCATCAGCTTACAACAGGATACTCAAAGGAAGTGGAGCAGGCTCGTAGGTAAGCAGAGAGCATTTACTTTCTGTTATCTTGGACAAGGGGTGGTTTACAAACATGGAATTTTTTCTCTCAAATGATGGCAGAATTTTTTCCATGTCCTTGAATGTATTGTTGTGGATAAACATTGCAAGAATTAGTAGTTCAGTGTTAAGTAGTAAACAACCCTATTTCWGAGCTTCTGTGCACTAGCATTTACAGTCTGATACGGATGTCTGACAGAAATACTTCTGTACTAATTCTTGGCTTCAGGTATCACCTGCATATGTGATACAGCTGTAAATGAGAATGGAGTGACACCATATTACAGTCTCTAGCAGTAGCAGTGTGTCTACTGTGTGTGGAGTGAGTCAATACTACTCCACTAGTCTATAGCAGTATTTTGACAATAGACGTGTCAAAAGAAAAGCCTATTATTGAGCCTTCTGATTCTGAAGGCAGAAGAAAAGTCGACACAAAAAGAGAGAGGAAAGCCCTGGATTATGTTCCGTGAGTGCCTCTTTGGACAGCTGGATGTTAAGGTATGCTTGTGGCTCTTTCAGGATGGAGGGGGAACTGTGGACACGACTTCGTCACAGGAGGAGAGATGAGTTCTGCTGGAGAGCTGAAGCAATCAGAGACATGAGACAGCTGGCTGGTAAGCACATCTTCCATAACCTTGGAACAGCTTGGAGTTAAATCACTGTTTCACCAGGTTTTTTTGTTTGTGCCTGTTTGTTGCTTTGAGCTCTTTCAGAACCTGATCCTGCAAATAGTTTGACCAGTATCTGTGATGGTGGAGGATGGCCGCTCACCATGTCATACAACTTTTGCTTTGTTTGTTGTATGAATTCAGCTGCAGCATGTGTTGCCTTCCTAAGGTGTCCTTTCTCTGGCAACTTGGAGTTAAGCCAGGGACTGTTTGCTCTGTGACATTAAGTTTTTTGAAGTTCTTCTGTTATTTCTCTTCCTGTCAATCTCTTCCTGCCCTGCGACACAGCAGCTTTCAGACTCTGGCGCCTGCAGAAGGAGCTGCTGAGCAAAGAGGAAGTCAGGCTTTTGGAAGCCCGTGCTCTGCTGGAAAAGAAGAAGCTACGGAACATTTTCTGGAAGTGGCATTCCCAAAGCTTGGAAATGAAACGGATTCTAACACTGACAACTCAAATCCAAAGAAACTTGGTCTCCCGGTGAGTTGATGAGGTCTGTTTTTCACATGAAAAGTTTGTTCACTGGGAAAGTCCAAGGAATAACAGAGCCAACCCAGACAGTAATAGTTGTTCCACCTTAAAGCCACCTATTCTTTTGTTTTAGGAGTTAATAAAGATGAAAATAGGGTAGAAACATGAAAAGGAACTGCTGTGGCCAAAGATGTTATGAMTTGCCCCCTGTGCACTGCCAAAACYTYWTGGTCTTGACTTTTGATGTCCTGAAAAATCAAACCCGAGAGCAGCCACTGTGTTGATGTGCTCTGAGCATGACAGTGGCTTTTTACTGAAGTAAATGAAGAGAAGCTCGTGAGATGACAGCTTCTGTCTGTCTTTCCTGAACTAAACCCAGTCTCAGGAAGACACATCAGCTTGTGTAAGTGTTTTTCAAAACATTTTCCTTTGGTATTCTCAGGTGCTTCAATACATGGAAGGAGAGTGTTGAGCAGAAGGCACTTTACAGGTGCAACCTGGCCCATCTCAGAGCAGTATCACTGAGGAAACACTTCAAGAAGTGGTTGGAGATTCTGCAGGTCAGAAGAGGTGATAAGCAGGCAGTGATGAACCTCTTCCTACAACAGAAGCAGTATTATGGTGAGCATCTTGTCTCTGTGCAGAATCTAAGCTTTGGAGGTGCTTAGGCTCCTTCTTCTTCTTCTTGTGCACTGAAAACAGAGGGGCTCAGGTGATTCAGGATATGAGCAAACCAGAGTGGGCAAAGGATTAGTTCTGGGTGTGTCAATGAAGCTACAGGGAGATTTGTTGCTGCACTTCATAAACCAAACAGAAACTCTTAAACCTTGCTGAAAMGAGGCAGTTTGAGGGTTGGGCTGGRCTGAGTTGGAATGCCTTGAGARAAACAATCTCTTGTTCCTTTATGTAACTGATTAAGGAGCAGTTATAAACTCAGTARCTGACAAGAGTGTGACAAAGAAGCATGAAGGTCAGCCATCATGGAYTGAAGAGAGACAGTTTCTGGAGAARACAGGCTACTCTTTTGATGACTTCTGCCAAAAACTGAAGCTGCAAAGAATATATGTGCTGTGGAAAACGAGGCTATGTGAGCATCAAAAAGCTGAGTGAGTGCAGAAGAGCCAGTCCCTGGARCCCTCTCCCCATTAGTAGTGTCCATTTGACTTTCTGAACCTTTTGCAAGAACCCCTTTTACCCCATCTATTGTCCATCATGTCTGTGCTAGTCTCCCCTTCTGGTGTTCTTCTGTCACTTGACTGTCTCAATATCTTCTCTCTCAGTTCTTTCTTTCAGACTTTGGAGCAGTATAAACTCAGAAAAACTCTGAAATTATGGCACCAAAAGTATCTCAAGCTGAAGACAATTGAACAAAGTTCTAAGCACTCACATAAAGCTGTCTATGAGGAACCTCTTGCTATGCTGTTTTCTGAGGACCTCTCAACATCATCTGGCTTTGACAGCAGTGCACCAGCTACTCTGACCTCTCAAAGCTCATTGGAAAAGGTGAGACRGTCTTGGTGCATCCAGACTGCTCTGAGGTATTAGATTTCTGGGACTTTTCAGGGGAATATTTCTGCTTCAGCATGGTATTTTCGTCAGCAAACTGTTCTTTAAATCTAGTGCTGAAGAGCACTGAATCTGTGGGGTCCTGAAGCTGAAGTTTAGTCTGAAAGTGTAAAGTCCATGCTTTCCATCATTTAGAGATGTGGGAAGGTGCTGAGCTAGTGAAATCCCTTGTACACTTGCTTCTRTTTGTGACTGCAGGGTGGAAAGGATGAGATATAAAGAGCCTCATCACTGAGAGAGTGCATATGCCCGTTTCCCCTTTTCTCAGTATAGAAATGTATGTATTTCTCCATTCAGTATGGAAATTACTAGTATAGAAATAACTTCCCCATCACTTACATGTTCACACTCCATAGGTGTCCTTACTAGCCTGCAGTTCCTTTGGATGCATTCTGGATTTGCCTGAATTCTTGCTGAAAAGAGGGGTAAATGGCATGGTCAGAACTGTTAACTGAGTGCTTGCTCTGTGAGGACACTCACCTCACAGCATGTTCCTTCCTCTATACCTGCAGGAATGCAGTCTTAGTGACAGCAGCCAGCACAGCTTCTCCTCCGTTCTGACTGCTGAGGATGTCACACACATGCCATGTCACRGTTCTTTCCTGCAACTCCACCAGTGCACAGCACTGCCAGCTGAGCTGGGTGGGGAGCTGTGCTTGCAGACCTCCTTCCCTGGATCTGGGTAAGTTGGAGACCTTTTTTTTTTTGGGATGCTGGTATCAGTGACCCCTTGTTTGGACTGGCTGAATTCCTTCCTTCTGGATAATCCCTCATGTCACATCACGACATCTTTCCAGGGGACTTCACCTTCTTTCTTWCCCTTGTCACCTGGCACTTTTGTCTTGCAGAAAAAATTGGTTTGTGGGAAATCAGTTCCAGTCTTTGGTGCTGCAGAGTCCAGATAATAATTCCCAGCCTCTCACCAGTTACTCTGCATGGGAAGAGGTGAGGCTAGAAAGTGTTGTGTAAAATGTCAGTGTACAAGTGTTTTCTGCATAGCCAAATTTAGCAAAGAGCCTTTGGGTTTCAATATCAGCATATGGAGGGTCTCACTGCTATTTTGTCTTTTTTRTTCTCTCACAAACAGAAGATTTGGGAGATTGAGGCTTTTCTCAGAGTAACTCTTCCCTACCATTTGTCATTGCGTGGAAATGGGGCAGGTGTCAAGGATTTAAAAGGGATGTGTTAGACCCTCATGTCTGTGTGTTTGTGTGAGGTGTGTGGATTAGTAACAGAGCTGGGCAATCACATAASTCATAGTGGCAAGAAGAGACAGCAGAGCTATATGGAGTAACTCTGATATAACAGCAGTTCAAGGCCCTTTTTGCTTTTCTGGATTGTAGGGCTGCAGTTCTGTCAAGGAGGTGAAGAGTTGCTGGCAGCAAGCAGAGAAATACTGTGTGCAGAGGTGCTTCATTGTCTGGTCAGCTCGAACTCGACATCTTGTAAAAGCCAAGCAGTACTGCAGGCGCATTCGGCTGTCTCGGTAGGGATTGTGCTTTCCAGAAGTTTCCTAAACTCTCTGTTTTGAAAGCTTTACACTTGTTTTAATTTAAAAAAAAGGGAAAAATTCCTCCTCTATTTATCTTATTTTTTGTTTTCACTTGGAGTTTTGCAGCCYRTTATTTTGGTGTTTTTCCAGCTTCAAAATTGTTATGTTAGAACACTGTAATTTCTTGTTTAATGGGATGCCTCACAAATTAGAGCAAGCCCAGATCTGCTGATAACAAGTCCTGGTAACTTCCTATCCACTGAACTGGCCTTGCTTTCTACTGATTCCAAAGCTGAAGTGCACAACAGACTTGGCACAGCCAGGACAGAACACCTTACTCCCAACAACTTGCCCTGTCCATCATTTCCCCTGACATTTAATGGGGAAAGGATGTTAGCAGATGGGATGTGTTTCCAAAACTCCCTCATGTGTATGTTTATTGTGAAATTTTCAGTTACACGGGTCTGTATCTCTGTGAGTTGTKTGTACAGTCAGTACACCAACCTTTGTCCTTCTCAGAGCCTTTCTCAGYTGGCACCACTGGATCATGGAAAATAAGAACCAAGAAGCAGCAGCAGTCCTAAAACATGAAGTTCATTGTTGCCAGATGGCTTTCAGCCTGTGGAGAAGGAGACTGGCCCAGAAACTGGAAGTTGACCGGAGATTCAGGTGTCACGTTCACCAGATGACTGCTGATGTTCTACRGCATTGGCATTCCTGCTGGCAAAGTGAGTTACCCCATCCCATTGCAGCACTCGTGTCTATAGGAGAGGGATGCTCTGGAAATGGTTGGGATGAAGAAAGTCACACTTTTGGCTGTAATTCTGTGCACTGCTCCTCTGGAAAGGCACATACTACTCCAGGAGTCAGTATAGGTGCATGTGTCACTGCATTCTTCTGGATATCAGCAAGACATGTGCCCTGCTGTTTTGTAGTGCTTTATATTAGGGAAAATGCTCCTTTGGCACTTCTGCCTGCTCTGCCAAAAGAGTGTTCAAGCAGTGTATTTTAGYAGCTGGGGAGTTAAATGGAGTTCTGTGCAGCATTCCAAGTTTGAATACGTCTCCTCAGACCCAGCAGTCAGGTTTTGCTTCARCAAGAACAGGGTGTATCTTTTAGGGTGGCTTAACAGTCCTGATCTCTCAAGGAATTCCATATGCTCTAAATACTTAGGCTGTGCCAGGGAAGAAAAACTTCCCAAATTTTAATGGAAAACTGCCTTGCTGGTAAGAGTGGAAGCAATGTGTGATTCTTTGCAGGGAAAATAGAAAAGAAAGTCTTTCTGCCTTGCAGACCAAAAACTATAGGGTGAATTGAAAAGTCTCTTTAGCTGCTAAAGAGAGGACAAGAAATCTTAGCAAGTTTGGTCCCGTTTGGTGTTTGCAGCAGGTGTATTCTTTGCTCTTGTCTGAACTGTGTAATGGAGAAACAGTCACTGGGCTGAGCTCAGGAAGGTGTGCTCTTTCCTAGGGAAGCGTGCTCTGGGAGAACTGCAGCAGCAATGGGCTCAGCAGAGCTGCCAGGAGAAGAAGAGCCAGGTCCTGCAGACATGGTATTACCAAACAAAGAAGCAGAAATATGCTGTTTTATTCTGGGAACGTTGTCTCCTGCACAGGTTTGTTTCTTGCGTTCAAAGCATTTCCAAGGGAAGTTCTCTGTGAAGAGCAATTTATGCAGTAGTGTCCATTGTATTCCAAGCAGGGCTTGGGTTTGAAAGTGTGGATAGCTTGTGTGCAAATGGAGCTTTTTTAGGGGCACTTCTTTGAGGGTGTGTCTATATTAAGGGGTCTCTTACCCGTAGCCTCACGCCCCACCTAATTTTTCTGGTTCAAATATTCTTTTCTTTCCAGAACTTGTATTCAGTATTAGTTATGCATGGTCTATGTACACTAAGTGAAGGAGAAATGCAGACAAATTTGTGTAGTTTAAAGACTGAAAGTCTTATTTTCACTTCAGTATTTGCTGAAAGGAATAGTGGGCAGAGGTCTTACAGAGATCTGATGTTTACAAACCTGAGTCGTTTAGGATTCTGGACACTGTGTTGATTTTAATTTAATTTGAAAAATTGAGTTCAATATGTTCTTACAGGAAAGCAATATAAAGCTTATGAAGGGAGAGCCATGATATTCAACTCATCTTGGTGTTACTACAATATAGGTGAAGCTGTACTCTGATTTTGAGTCTTATGTTGCAGATCTGAAAACACAAGAATTTAATTTCTTTTCTCTCTTAATTGTGTTCAGTGGCTTTCTCATTGAAACCAGTTTTGTTTGTGGTTTATGTATGAGGCTGTGCCTGCCTGAAGTTCAGAGGAGTGTCCAGCTGTAGTGAACCAGGATTGTTGAGGTGTTTCTCTGAAATAATTCAGGAGGATAAGAATGAATAAGATTATGAATAAGATTATTTATGCCAGGTGAGAAGTGCAGTTTTTTTTTAGCACATTTTCATTTGAATTRCATGTTCAGCCTGAGAAGACACAAAGATCTGCAGAGTAAAAAGCAACTAAAAACCCAATAAAACTTTGGTGGCTGTGATGTTTAGACTCTGCACTTATCCCCCACCCAAAYTGCATTTTCCTCTGCAAATCTCTGTGTGGCTCCCTGGTGGGAATTGTGTTTGGCAGAAGCCCTAATGTTGCTTCTTCCTGTCAAGTTTGTCTCCACCATTAATCTTCCTTCTGAGTCTCCTTTGATGAGAGAGTGCTTCTGATTTCTTACCTGGATATGGTACAGRCTAAGCTTTTTCTCTTCTGAGGGGGGCATTTTTCATGCTAGGATAACTTGCAATAGCTTCTCTTGATCTTCTAAGAAGCCTGCCAGGCAGAGGATATTTACACCTCTGCCCTATGGTGCAGTGGGGTGATTTGCATAATGAAAGTCCAAGTGGAACAAGGAACCAAAAGGATAAGCCAGGAGTTAAAAGCAGATTGGATTCTCTGGATTGTGAAGGAAAACTGGCCTCCTGTGTATCAGCCTGCAAAACACAGAGAAATTATTGTGGGTRCAGATTTACAGTGCTGGTAATAGTAAGTCCTGAAGTTGTTGATTTATTGGAATAAAATTGTCTCCATAAAGATTATAGTTGTACCTCCCACATACACAGGGCCTTAGTTTGTCACAGCCAAGAAACAAAATCTGAATCTTGACAACAAGCTGCTGCATAAATRCTGCAAGCAGACTTCAGGAATCTGCTGGGTTCCATGCTGAAGGAGATTTTAGCAGTTTTATTCTCATTCTGTGATGAAAAAGCCTTCATAAGGCACCATCTTTCTGGTCAGCTGCTAGCACAGAGSAAGACTGAAGACTGACTAATTAAATTCTTTCCCCTTTTGTTTTTTTGGAAGGATCCACTATGTGTAGTGGCAAGGCAGCCTAGGAAAAGCATTTGTTCTGTAGGCAAAGGAAAAGCATAATATAAGATTGATTTCAGTTCTGTAGGCAAAGGAAAAGCATAGTATAAGATTGATTTCAGTTTGCAGAGGCCTTGGAAGGGGAGGAAATGCTAAAATGCCAGAGAGAAGCAGATACTCTTCTGGACTTTGAGTATGTGAGAGGTAACAGTGCTGGGAACTTGAAGTAAAATAAGGGCAGGTTTTCAGCAGAATGATACTCTAGTTGAAGAGTCTGAACTTCCATCTCCCAAAGATGAGGCACTGGAAAAATAAGTAGTATGGAGAACAATGCATAAATCTTGATTGCAGAAGGAATAATAGAAACAGGCTTTTTTCTTGTTGAATGTACTTTGGCTTGCTTTGACCATTTATGTGGGAYATTGCAGGGCGGGTGAGAAGGTGGAATTTGGTCTGACATGGAATTGTGACTTTGGGCATCTGCTGCCTTTCTGTGCATGTAACTGTTTTTCAGGTGCCTTGTCACTTGGGCCCAGGTCACTGCATGTAGACTGAGGCAGCACGAAGCCCTCTTTTATTTTACAAGGATCAGAGAGCACCGTCTCCTGGTTGTGAGCTTTRCTAMGTGGAGGGACAGACTCTTGAGAGCYGAACRAGTSCCAGAAGGGAGRACCCACAAGTGGCAGGAGCCCTCTCCAGGTAAAGCCTGTCACCGCTGGCGAGTGGCTACAAGAGGACAGCAAGCCCTGCGGCTGGGATCTGTGGCTACTGTCAAACAAGTAAGAGAAGATAAAGTTCTCCATGAGACAGTTATTATTAACTGCCTGTTCCCTCATGAAGACTCAGAGTTGTGAGGCACTGAGATACTGTGATGAGGCTTGTATAAGAACCTGGTTTGATTTGTRGTGACTGCTTAGTCCTTGCTTTGAAATTCTTCACACTGTGCACACAACTTCATCACCATAATCTGGCACTGATTGCAGCAACCATCTGGAGTACAGCCATAAGGAAAGGGGACATTTTGACCAGAGAGATAAGAGCACTCCTTCCTCTCTGCTCAAAGATAAGATGGGATAATCACTGTCCCTGCAGAGCAGAGTGAGCTGTCACAGTTGCAGCTTTTTTCAAAAGACTCACAGCTAGCAAACTTCAAAGAGGTCGATTGATTTGGAAAGGCTGAGTCAGTCCTGCTGGGATCTCATCTGTGCAGTTTCCAGCCTAAGGTCTAGCACATTAAACTACCTGCAGGGCTACGAGCCTGTCTATCTGAGGTTGGTTTGTGTGATTGCTGTGGGTGTGCATTGTGTTTACTCTTGGCTGCACTGTGCTGTTGCTGTTTACAGGCCTGCAACTACTGGACCAGAGCAGCTGCCTTTTCCCAGTGCTTACGACAGTGCAGTACCCTCATAGGTGCAAGGAAAAGCAGGAAGATGTCTCTTTCTTGGTCCATGAGTAAGAAGATTCTCCTTCCTCTCTTCCTTTCAGAGGGCCATGTGGGAAATGAATGAGAAGGGAAGGGGCGTAATGTTTACCAGCTAAATGACTGAATCCTCTGTGGAGTAGGAGCTCATGGCAGTCAAACTCAGTGGGTTGCTTATGTGTTCAGGAGTGAAAGGACTAAGGGCTCATGGCAACTCTGATCTCTCCCTCTCTAGCTCCAAGGTTAGCTCCTGTGTGATTCCTCTTTCATTTCCTAGAAAGCAGAAGAGGCAGAGAAGAAGATTCAGCACCAACTGGACTTTTTCCCAGTGCCATCCAGCGCTGGCTGGTGTTCTACAGGAACCAAAACAGGGCTGAAAGGCTGCTGGAGACACCTGATGTGGTAGGACCCTCTCGTGCACATGCAAGGATCCAGGAGAACACAACAGAGGTAGACTTGGAGGAGAGGGATAAAAAGTGGCTTGGGTAAGTGGAGTGGAGGACTCTGGGCTTCCCCTTGCTGATACCAGGGAAGGGCTCCCTTGTACAGCTGGTAAAGCTTATCTGCCTCCTTTGCAGGAAGAAATACCTGAGGTGGTGGCATCACACAGTGGTATTGCGCCGGTGCCAGCATGACAAGAGACTGCGCCGTCTGGCAAGAGGATGGCATCAGTGGAGGGAAGCCAGCAGGGTGGTGGTACTGGCTCAGATGCTGGTGAGTGTCTGGTGCCACGGGGGTGGCAGTGATGGTTGTTACTGGGCAAGCCTGCTCTGCCTGTAGCCTACCACACATCCTGGGAGATGAGACCTGGGGGTTTAACAAGTACCARTGTGCACCAGAAATCCTGGTTTGCTGCTGGGCCTAGTTTTACCATTGTTCCTTTTGAACTGCCAACTTGACAGAATGGCATATCCACAGCTTTAATTGTGCTTTGCCCTTACAGATGGGAAGCTGAAACAGGATGCTTTSTGTAGATTGTCTGTAGCCTGTGCAAAATGTTCACAACAATTATGATGATCTTTGTCCTCATCTGTTTTCCTGATACTGGTTCCTGTTTTCCCACTGGTGTCCACAGTTTACCAAGAGCTATCATTTGGCTTTCCCTTCTGCTCACCCCCATGTTCTGCCTGGTTCCTGGGCATTAGCTGTGTGAGATGTGCTCTGACCTACCCAGGTAACAAGATGATGCCGGTATAATGTGAGCACATCCATAATCGTTGAGGGGCTGTGCTGGAGCACGATGGGGCACTGTCCTCTCCCCAGGGTACTGTGAATTCATTAGCCACACTGTCTGCAGGAGACTGTAGTTGAGCAAGAGCTCTGTTATTAGTCAGCTCTGTTTGTTACCAATGCAAAGCCATTGAAGAGGGACCTGGGAAAGCAACTGGAATAAGGTGAGACTGGAGGGAAGTGAGGTAATTTGTCTGCCAGAGCCCAATTAATGTGTGCTGCCTCTTTTCCTGGCAGGACCGGCAGCGGCTGATAGAAAAGGCATGGAGGGTGTGGAGACAAAGATACTTGCAAAGCTGCGTCGTGCAGAATCTTTTGGAAGAGGAAGCCAGGAGCCTTCTGTCTCAGGTAAGCATTTATGACTTCAGTGGACCTCAGTGGTACAAAAAACACCCCAAAGGGACAACTGGTGTTGCCTGTCTCTCTCTCCCTGCACAATGCACTCTCTTAGGGAGAAGCTGAATACATCAAGGAATGGACCTTGCAAATAAAAAAGGGAAACAGCTTCCAGCTTTACATGGGTTCATTTATGGGTGTTTTTCAAAGCTTTGTGTCAGGAGTCAATTTCCCTGATGTGTGCCCCCTTCCCTGCTGTTATTAGTGATGTTAATCCCCTAATCCCCTGCCTCTTGAGAGCCCACTCAGGGAAGAAACAGGCTTCACATTGGTGCAGGAGGACTGTGCTGACTTGCACCCAGGGGCAGGCAAATCACTATGAATTTGAGTCAGCAGGCAAAGCCTTAGAACTCATATCCCGTTTGCTCCTCTCCCAGCCTCTCAAAGATACATGCATGATTAGGTCCTTCTTTAAGGAGGCAGAGCAGGTACTCAAATTAGAGGGCAGAGGGAACATTGGTTTTTCTTCTCTCACCTTGATTTGTACTCTKCATGCACTTACTGGCTTCAGGAGTGACAGGGACTGGTTTTGAGTGAAGSGTGAGGTAGCTGGCAGAGCCATTGMTAGAGGGAAAGCTATGTTASAGGTACTGTGAGARTGGCAGCAGCCTCTCAAGGGYAACTCGAGTGTTTGATTTGTCCACTTTCCTCTTTCAGGCCTTTGGAAGGTGGCAGCAGCGCACAGCATTCCAGCGCAAAGACAAAGGATCCTGCTGAATGGAGGGGCCTGCCTGCAGCTGCTGCTCATTGCAGGGCACATGGAGGATAAGGCTCCTGTCACAACAAAGAGCTGGTCCTGTGCTGTCAAGAAAGAGAACTCTCTGCTCTTACGATAAAAGCAGTGCTGCAGGCCAGGAGGATGACAGCCAAAGAACAACCAGAAAGAGATGGTACCTAGTGAATGGTCCTCTTTTAAAGGACTTTAAGGATCCTACCTCCTTAGCCACACAAATGGAGAAGTKACTCCTAGTTGTTGAGAGGTTGCATTCTTCTCCCCTGGCTCCTGTTTTTGCTGGAGTTCTGATTAAAGGTCAAAAAAACACCTTACAGGCCTTGCTTTTATTTAAGTGTTTTTTCCTTGGACAGGAGTTTTGTGTCAAGGATATGCAAATACAATCTGAGAGATGAGCAGGAGTTTGTGGGTGCTACATCCTGTTTCAAAGTCTGGATTAGGTAGGTGCAAACACAGGTCTTTAGATTTAGCTTTTACCCTGGGGGTGTGGGGCAGATTTCCACATGGCTCCCACCTCCTCCCCCTATCTAGGTCCATCAGCTCTTCATTAAGCCTTTCAGTGGGTGGCCAACCTCCTGACTGCTTCCTGCTGGTTTCTTTCTGTGCTGAMTGGGGAAGGGATGAAGAAACCTGCTGGGAACAGCTGAGCACCAAAAGCTTTGCTAAGGCAAGACAGGCGTGTCTGATCCCCAGCCTTCCCATTACTTGCCTCTGTGATTRATGCCCTGTAATTACCCTGGATATATGAGCCCGGTCTCAGACAGCTGTAACAAGAGGGTCTGAAGAATCTGGAAAAGGCTTTTCTTCCTTGCTTGTTTGAAAGAGATGCTCACAGCATGGTGGGGATCTTGAAATCCCACTGGGAACTGCCCCAGGTCTTGTTTTTCTAGCCTGTGGCAGCGTTGCAGGATTGTTAAGTACACAAGCAGCCTCAGCAGCCTCCCCAACCCCTTATTTTAATGCTGTGGGGCCTAAGGCTGTTAAGAGTCATTAGGTCAGGAAAGATAGGTTATTGTTCCTGATCAAAGCTTATCTTTCCCTACAAGCACAGGAAAAGGACACCACACCTCCTGTGACCTTGCAGAACTGAGCCCAATAGTGTAACTATTATTTTTGGTAAATTCTAAGATTTAAGCTTTCTCTGCTCTACCATGGAGCTTTGGCCAGATTCAGGGCCTGCAGTGAAAGTGAAGGCAGAACTGCCCCAGAAACACTTGATTTTCTGAATGTTTTCCCTTGTGCCAGGCTGATTAATCAGCAAACACCATGAGTCTCTGCTAGAGCATGGCCTAGCACAAAGTACATTTGTATGTATTTTTATTGTACATAATCTAAGAAATAGTGTGATTCCTACTTAGTCTTATCCAGAATGGAAATTCATACAGTCCTATTAAAAAGAAACAAGGAAATACAATAAAAGGAGAAAAGTTAGGAAAAAAATTGAACCTTCTTCTGGAGTGAGTGCAAAAATGCTGATGATCAACTATGAAGAAATACATTTTAGGAGTGCAATATAAAAACCATTTGACCTTCTTTTCCAGGCTGGCAACTGCTGAMATAATCCCCTTACATAGGTACAGCTGACAGGAGTGTTTCTGTCCCCATACCAGCATTTGTGGTAGGGGAAAGTTACCAGAATCCCAGAAGCTTGTGTTCTCATTTTACTGTAATCAGCATAACCATGATCAGCAGCTCATGATCCTGCAGACCTGGCCTTCAGGCTTAGTCTGGAGCCTCAGCTCAGTGGTCCAGGTAGTTCTGGTTACTGTTCAATGGGAACTGCTCAGGGAGCCTTTGTTGGGGACAGAAGAGCACACAGTGTGGGTAGATCAGAGCACGAGCCTGGTCACTGAGTTTAGGAGTGTGTTGTCCATCATCAGCACAGGAGCTGCTGCTTTCCCCAAAGTCAGTGCACGGGAGGAGGAAGTAAGAGATAAGAAGAATTTTCACTGCTGAGTTGGAGAGTTCAACAGCTCAAAAGTATCCTCCACAACTTGCCAGAGGCAGTTTTCGAGTGGGAAGTCATTGTCCACCAGGTTGACCAAGTAATAGTTGTCATGGATGTACTGGATGATCATGCGAGAGGGCGACTCCTCTTCATACAGCTTGGCCCATTGCTCGATCCACAGTGCAAAGGCCTCATCCTGCCACAGGAACAAAAAAAAGTGGGCAGTTGTGTAACATCTTTATGTTCCTTAATTTAGGATAACCCAGTGTTACACATGACTGGCCAGACTGTGGCTTGTTTCTTCCCAATAAAAGGCAAGAGTTGAGCAAGGAACTTCGTGCTTGCTAGTCAGTATGAAATGCTCAGAGCTGAAAAGAGACAGATTTGCAGTTCAATGGATGGCTCAATGCTGCCCCTGTGTGTGTTAAAGGGGAAGAAGAGCCACTGTCCAGCACTCTGAGGCCTGGTACAATGACAGTAATGGCTCTCGAGCCCCGTTGCTGGGCACTTAGTGTTTGGGAACAGCTCTTGCTGGAGCTGAGGGAGCAGAAGCAGTAAGACCTGTACCTCTGCAAGCCAATATAGCAACAGCCCTCAACTGTGAGGAGTGTCCAAGACTAAAACCAAATCAGACACTCTGAACTTCCAGGGACTGCAGCAATGTATCCAGCARAAGGGAGGACTCACCTTCCAGGAGAGGAAGCTTACAGGATCCACTACAGTGGGCTGGATGATCTCCCTTCCTGGGAAGATGCCCCAGGTGACAGCATTGGGTTGCAGATCTGGAGCATTGGTGATATTCTGGCCCTGCCAAAGGAAGGAAAACCTTTCTGAAGCAACTGCTGGAGGAGGGACCGAGTGAGTTGGAAAAAGTGTGTTCACCCTCTCCTTGTTAAGGAAYCAGACAGCTGCTGCACACCACAGCTGACTTGTTTTTCCCTTCCCTTAATCAGCCCTCATGTCTTAATRTTTGGTATTTGCCTCTCTCCCAAGGTAGTGAAAGGAAAGTGTCCTGTGAACAGCCTACCTTGACATTGACAATGTGGTAGTTCACTCGCAACTCATATTTTCTCAGGACTTTGAGCAATGCTGTGACAATCTCACTGGAGGTGAAGAACTCTAGGTATGCCTGCAGGGAGGGATGGAGAAGGGGGAAGAGAATCAGAGCCTTAAATCAATGGCAGAGCTGAGACAAATACAGGACATTTGTAGAGTCTGGGCTGCCTTTTGTGTTCATCCCCAGAAATGCATACTACASAGAAGGCTTGGAGCAAAGGACAGAGCAAATTAGTAAACAAGCCGGGGAAAAAATAATTGGGGAGAGCAGAGGGAACAGCTCACAAACTGTGCACTCAGAAAAGCTAAACACCTCCTGTTTTGCAGCCATAMAAGTTCAGGAATGAACTCCAGTGCAACCACCACTGCTGCACAAGAAAGCAGCCTGTGCCAGAGTGCTTGGAAGAAGCCTGAGCTTAACCTTTATTTTACAGCAGTGTCTTGCCAAGGCAGCCCAGTCTRGTGAAAGCAGAACTCGGTGGTCTCAGCTGGGCTCTCTCAAGCACCACTCCCTGTCCTCATCTTTTGTTCCCAATTCTCCCCATGTGCTTATACAACCAAATTCTGTACTTGCTCTGTGCTTGGCTGCTCCCAACAACTGCTTCCCCTCCCCCCATTTCCTGGCTATTGTGTGAGATGATGGATTTCCCTCACCTCAGGGGAATTTTTTCCTTTGAAAACATAACTGCATTTGCCATCTGCTGGTCTCTTTACCGGTTTGGATCCCTTTTGAACCAGGCTGCTTTGTTTTCTGGTATGAGCCACTTGCCTTACATTTACCTTGATGGGATATTCCTATCACAGCCATTAGTGGCAAGGCTCTAGGGCCTGAAATGCCTGACAGTGGGAGACACTTCCCTGCTTGCAGGTCAGGGAAGGAACATCRCAGTTGTTTGAACAGCTCAGCATGGGCTGAGAGCAACTGTGGGGAATTCTGCCTTACAGGACAGGAAATTTTTAAATGCCCCTTTATCACCATGCAAGCTGGGTGATAGAGATACTATCTCATTGATTGCTGTTCTATGAAAAATCTGTGTGCTTTGTGCATCACTGAATCAGATGCAGGGGGCAGGCAACTTGTGTATATAATAAAATCTTACAGCCCTGCTTTAGAAATAAGTTACCAATAATTACTTGCTAAGAGTAAAATCATTAAACTCTACAGATGTTCAGTAGATGTTCTGAGGTGGGGCGAAAACAGCTGTGAAGCCAGCCATACATATGGCAGTGTGGCTCTTAAGACACCAAAGAAGCTTTGCCTCGTCTCATCAAGTAGGCATTAAGATAAGGAGTAGGCAGAAAGATTATGTGGATGAAAGCCTGGGATATCCCAACCTAAGAGACCAAACTGGGTCATAACTCTTTGCTGYCTAGTGCAGAGTAATGCAGTACCTTTTGAAAAACATAACCTCCACTGGGCCCCCAGCCTACAATGGGGTCGGTGGATGGTTTGCCATTGATGTTYGGTTGGGAGTTGATGGTCAGGATTCCTCGTCTGTTGACCCTCTCCAGCTGGTCCTTCAGAAGGTTGGTTTCAGTAGCAAGAGGGTCATCATTCCAAGGCATACACGTAACCTACCACGAGGAGAAAAGATGGCTCACAATGGATGTAACAACCCTTTGATTATCATCTGGATGTTGAAGGAACTCGGGAGTGCCTTAATGGCCTCAAAACCACCTGCTTCAGGAGAAAATTCCCAGGTTTGGTGTAAGGATTAGGATATGCTCAACTGTAAGAATGTCTACATAAGTCGATCAATACTGGTCCTGTCATACTTTAGCAACCTTCCTTTTATGCTGAGCCCTAGATCTGCTTGCTTGACCCCTTTCAACCACTGTACCAGCAAATCCATTCAGATAGAGAAGTGCCAGTTCTTTAGAAGAATAATGTGGTACCAGGAGCAAGATGAAATATGCACTTGTGCCATATTTACCATCCCTTCCTGGGCCCTCACTCACCTTGTACCCATTCCTGTTGGGCTCTCCAGTGATGTAACACGTGAACACCTCAAAGACACTTTCCTCACCAGTCAGTTCTTCTCCCCACATCTTCAGAAGCTCCTCCCGGGGAGATTTACTCTTCAGGTAGAAGAGGTAATAGTCCTTCAGTTCCCCAAAAGCTGGAGAGGAGGAGTTACCCCTGTAAGAGGGGAAGGCACAGAATTGAGGTCACCAAGGAAGATGAGCTGATTTGGTGATGCAGGAAGAAAGCCAACCAGCAAGAGAAGTACACACCAAAACCCACCTCRACACCAAAAGTCTCAACATCTTGGTGCCATTCACCTCACTCACACAAATCCAAGCAACAGGGGACCACACTGTTACAAAGCCACCTGAAGTGTGCCCAGGACACCAGGCTTTCCTRCCACAGCTCTGCCTCACTGCAGACAGCTTACCATCGGCCATTGGGGAAGTCATCCCACTCCTGAGTTCGATAGATGTAACTCTTTGGCCTGGAGGCCCAGAAGATTGGCCGGACATCTTCCACTCTTCTCTTGGGGTGAGCACTGACTGCCCAGGGTAGAGGCCGCCTGCATGGGARGAGCAGATGTTAACACAGTTCCTCTGCTGACTTTAGTGTAAAGGCTGGAAGCCTTCCCCATGGAGGAATTTGCCCTGGGAAGAAATAATAGGGGCTGAGAAGAGTTCTGTTTGTCAAGAAGTAGGACAGGAAATGCTTCTTCCTTTATGGATAAGATTTCCTACTCAGTTCCCTCACAGGATGCTCAGTAGGGGTCTATTTAACRTTAAGGTACAGGACTGACACCGGAAATTGGAAAAGGTAAGGGCAAAGCTGTCAATTTTCCTTTGCTTCCTCTTGTCTGTGCTGAAGCTGTAAACTCAGGCAGAAGTCTACATTCCCTTTCCCAGCTGCAGAGAGCCCTAGAAATCCACAGTGGGAGCATASCCCTAGCCTATAAGGGGTTGTGATGGTCATCAGAAACATGCTCCAAGTGACAGCTCCTACGCTCTGGGCTTTTTAAGTCCCAGAATGGCTACTTTAAAGCGACTTGACTAAAAAAATTCCTCCTTTGGCTCCCCCCTCTATTCCTCTCAGCTTTTATTGGAGATGTGCAGGAAAGGTAAACTAACAAATGCAAAAAAGGTGATAAAAAAACAAAGAAAAAAAAGGAGAATAGAGGTACTGACCCATCCATTGTTTGTCCCTTCAGTAGGTGGGATGGATGGAGGGAGGGATGGATGGAGGGAGGGATGGATGGGAAAGCAGAACTAACAGAAGGCAGCATATTCTGCTCACCTGGGATCCTCCCTCCATAAGCCCAGGCGCTTCAGGACTTCTGTCGTAGCTACTTCCCGATTGAGGGTGTAAAAGTGGAGCCCGTGCACCATTCCACTCTCCAGCAGCTCCCGGCACATGGACACTGCCAGCTCCACCCCATAGTTCCGGATAGCTGCGTCATTGTCCTTGATGGGTTCAATCACATCTTTGATTTCCTGAGGCACTTCCAGCTTGGAGAGCTTCACCAGCTGGCGCAGGGAGTGGTAACCCTAGATGAGGATGCAGATCATCATTTTTTCAATACCCTTTTTTGCCATCCCAGTACAAAGGTACTTGATTTTGTGGCAGGAGATTTTTGAGGCTCCCAGAGGCTACTCCCAGGCCCCATCTCTTGGATGGTAACACAGCCCAGGTCAGATCACTTTAGGTGATTTCTCCCCATATCCTTGCCTGAGCCCAGCATGCTGACAGTGACCTCARGACTGGCAGGCCAGTGTCCTTTATATCCCTTTTTGCCACAAGAAACCTTTTCAGCTTGTTATTACTGCCTAAGAGTTAAATCTGTAGGTGGCTTGCCAAATTAATCACATTTAGCACTCACTTCCCTGAAATTTTGTGGAGGGTATTTACAGAACTGTCTCAGGCTTTCACCCACCTAACATCCTAGATCCTTATTCCCCCACCCAAATCCAAATTACTGTATTTCACCTGTATAGGGAAGATGCCAGGAATAATGGGGCAGGTGATGCCAATAGCTTGACAATCCTTCATGAACTTGAGAAAGGTTTCTGGTCGGAAGAAAAGCTGTGTAATGATGAAGTCTGCTCCWGCAAAGACTTTCTCCTTCAGGTGCCTCAGGTCTGCCTCATAGCTCTCTGCTTCAGGATGACCCTTGGGGTAGCCTTTGGGGAGAACAGGAGGAAAAATAAAACCCTGGTGGTCAGGGCAACATGCAGAAATTAGGAAGTAACCAATCTGATTGCACTGTCACAGCCCAGGTCTAGGGAGGGACTGCTGAGCTGATTTCCYTGACTCAGATCCTACTCCATAGGCTGCAATAGAAAGGCATTTACCTGCCACACAGATGTCGAAGTAATCTTCAAATTCATTGCGAATATGCTTAACCAGGTCAACAGCATAGTTGAAACCATCTACTTCTTCCTCCCATTCCTCACCAGCAGGATCTGAAAAGAGAACAAATCCACAGCTCTCTCCAACTGTTTGCTGAACTCAGATCTGCTAGTACTGTAAAAACCTCCTGTTATCAAAAGGAAGACAGAGATGAACTCCCAAATTGGCAGTTTTACCCATGGACTGGTTTTGTCTGCCCTTGAGCAGGAGGGACTGCTAACAAAGGGCTCAGGTGAAATACAGTCTCAGAATTTAATTCCTGCAGAAGGAGCCCCCAAATCTTACTTGTCTCTGTTTATCCTGGAATTGAACGTAACAGCAGCACAGCCTCAGTACTACACATCACAAGACAGAAGGATTCACCTCCACGCAGTGCCATGATGTTCTTCAACCCAAGCCGCTTGGCCTTCTGCAGATGCCCTGTGATGTCATCYTTGGTCTGGTTGCAGCATGTCATGTGCAGGATGGTCTCCAGGCCACAGTAGTTGACTGCAGTGTTGGCAATAATCATGGAAGAGGTTTCTTTATCAGATCCTGGATCCCCTGCAGGGTGCCATGTCACATCAATGAAGAGGGGACCACCTGCTCCCATGCGGTCAAATCTGTGGGGTTTAGAGCTGTGTTAGCCTACACCAGGAAGCCAAATCCCTCCCTATGCCTGGAATATCTTGCTCACTGCTGGAATGCCAGCAATAGGCAGAGAGAGCAACAAGATGGACCACAAAAGTGTTGCACTAAGAGTTTAGCAAGTGGCTGATGTAAATAAGGAAAACCATCCCTTAAGGCTCTTTGGGGAAGAGCTTACAATCTCTTTGAAGAAGAGACACCTGAGGCGTTCTCTGTACAACAAACTTTCTCCCTGCATGCTCTCTTAGACTGATACAGCTTCTGACAAACAGCAATGCAAGTCCCATTCCTTTTGAGACAGGAGACTATGCTGCAGCCCCCTGTCGCCAATTTAAACTGCAGAGGCCACAAATACAAAAAGATGGACCAGAACTCTGCTGAGCTCCTAAGTGTGCCAAAGAGAGGAGACAAGGGCTTCCCTAACTTGTCTCTCTCCTGCTCCAAGTTGGAACAGGCCCTTCTGTTTAACAWATGGCATTGGCATACAGCAATTACAAAAAGAATTATGAAATACCCTCTTCTACTCCAGGTAAGTACATGGTGGCTCCTGGGGCACCAGAATAACTCCCAGCTCTGCTGAGACCTATCAGCTTTCATTTAGCATGTAGATGGGGAGACCTGTGTCAGAGGCTAAAACTGTAATACTGAGGCACAAACCATAGTGACTGAATGAACACTGAAAGGAAGTGGGGATCTGTTTAAGAGATTATGGCACACTGTCCATCAGGGAATATTTTCTGCTTTTAATAGGTACTTTTCTGCCCCARCACTGTGCTTCTGACCCAGAGCATGGCATTGGGGTTACTCCATCTTCTCAGCATGGGAGAGGGGGAACAGCCTGGCCCTCAGTAATCCCACCATGACACTTAACTCTTCAGGGCCTCCAAGGAAGACAAGTTACCTGGTGTCCATTACCCTCCTCAGCAGGAAAGCACAGCCCCATTACCTGCTTCGTCACCTGGAAGGGGAGACAGAGCATGGGGCACAGCCTGCCTCATTAGCTATTTCCCAGCCCTCCACCACAGATAGTTCCCCTCTCCTACCCTGCAGGGCTCACCTGGAGATGAGATTGACAGCAGCATTGGCTGTGCGTGGAGGGAAGAACTCCAGGGAGAACCACTTGTCTCCAGCGTCCTGCCGGCGGCGCATCTTCTCCCGCAGCCGCTCGTGTCGGTCACTGTCGAGGACAGGGGTGGAGCAGCGCGAGTTGTCCTTGGAGCTCTCACTTCCACTGCTGCTGCCGCCATCAGACCTGGAACTGGAACTGGCACTGCAGGTGTGCTGGGTCTCATTGACCATGGTGAGAGCTCTGGAGAGAGGAGCAGAAGGAATATGGTGGGTACAGGGTAGGAAAAAGGTCTCTGCAAGGAGCAGGTACTTCTGTGGTGGGCAGCAGCCAATGCCAAGACTCAACATTCATCACCGTCAAGGAATCCCTTTTGCCACCTTTCACTGTAAGCTGTAGTTTGGGATGTRGTGAAAGCACATGGCCACTTTGATGCAGCTCTTCAGTGCCTGCTGGGTCACCTTTGGCTCTCAGAAGAGTGAGGTCAACATCACTTTTGCTCGGACTACAACTCAGCAAGCCAGGATGCCCATGTGAATTAGGTGATGGCCTCTGTCATCTTGTGGCCTTGGGCTGGGCATGCCAGCAGATTTTTTTTTTTTTTGTCAACTACAGCTGCTTCATGTATCCATCTTCAGAGTTTCCATTCTGTTTGTTCCCAAAAGGCAGCACTGCTTTACAGTGTAGGTAGGAAAGCCAGCACTAATGGGGCAGGTACTCARTGCACCAACTATTGCTATGTCAGAAACAAGAGTATGGAACCAGAACGCCCTCTGACCAGGCCATTCCCACTAACTGTCCTTGGTTTTCTTTGCCAGCATCACAGCTGCATTTCCAACCATCAACCTTTTCCACAAGACACATCATCTCCAAGGACAGCTGTCCCCTGTGCCAGTCCCACTGCACACACTCAACTAATTCTTTACCAGATACAGTGTTCCCTTCCTCACCAGTTGTGGCTGCTTGGAAACAAGACCAGCAGAGACCAYCCTCTTCTCACTGCCTTGCACCAAGATCAGCTGTGCTTGCTTGGCTTCACAGAAAGCAAAACAGCACTCCAAGTCAGTGGTACAAGTAGGTTTAGGATACGCAACTCCATTTAGCTCCACAAAATGTCCTATCCTGTGCCCTTACAATGGGGTAGGGATCACAGACAGTTACGGAAGAGCTACCACAAAATTTGGATCCGCATTATTTGCTTTAGTACCTGCCAAAATTTAAAATTGTCACTGGGAAGCAGCATGCTGTCCAAGCATTACATAACTTTGGAGCCTGTTGTGAAGGAAGCAGTTATGTGAGCCAGCACACACTCTCAGTCCTTATCATAAGTTCTGTGGGTTTAKTTCAGCCAAGAAGACTTTGAACTCATCTTCTACTGTTTACACTTAGTTGCCAATCAGGCAAAACCCTTTGGGAGAAAGTCTACTTTTACCACCTGAGGAACCTCTCCAGCTGGCAGGAGATGTGAGAAAGAAGCACAGGCTTTCTGCTGCCAAGCGGAAGCGGGAGCCTTGATCTCTTGTGTACCAACATAGCAGCTGTAAAAATCAGCAACACAGACCTACTGACAAGTGAAGAAAAACCAACTGGGTGCATAGTCACAGCCCTGACCAAGCTCAGAGGCCTTTACCTGATATCCACATGCCCTAATCTGGGAGAATTATCCCCAAGCATGTGTTGGTGATCAAGCTAGCAGCTCATAATCACATGCKGTAAACTCCCAATATCTCATTCCTAGTAAGCATGGCACAGCACCATAGGCAAATCAAAGGAGCTTTGTTTCCAAACTTGAGATTTAACACCCAGCACATGGAAAAAGGGTGCATGTCTTTATGTCTCTATAAAATGAGACTTGCGGTTGAGAAAAGATCCTTATCTCACTGGCAATATCAAATCATGAAGACAGGAGAAAGGCACACTTAGATTTTTATCTACAGGCTGCATTTGGAACAATTTCCTTACCATCACATGCCTCACAGATTTGCTGGCAGATACTTCTAGTTATTGCAAAGAAAAAAAAAAGATAAGCCTAGATAAGACAAGAATAGCAGCAAAGTAAGATAACTTTTAGCACCTGTCAACATTCCTGCTCCTGTCTTTGCCACACTGCAGAGCTCCAAGATCTGTGGCTCAGAACATCGCTGATGCTCAGCATGGATGTACCTGTTGTGTTTATGATGCTGGTGGTATTCAAACTCCTTGCAGTCCTGAGCTGACACCAACACACGGAGCACGGAGYCTGCATTCCCCTAAGCTCAGTTTTACCCTCAAGACTCAACTCGGCTGCACCAGATGTACGCTTCACACAGGCTGCACACGCTGCAGGGGGCTGCGGCATCAGGCTGAGAGCCGGGCGGGCAGCCCAGSGGCCCGCGGCTGCATCCACCGCGGGAATAGCTGATGGGGCAGCAGCTCTGCCACGGGAAAGCCACGGGGAAGGGCCGGAGGATGCCCGGCATCGCTGCGGACCGCCGGGGAAAAAACGAGCAGCAGCACCTGTGGTCGGGACCAGGCAGGTCACTGCAGCTCCATCACCCCTTCACTTCAGCTGACCCCGCGGGGAGCACGGCCTGGCCCGCAGCAGCCGGCAGACAGACCCGCCACCGGGAATCCCCGGTGCTGGGGCAGCCATCGGACCCCCGTTCCCGGGCCCCGCTCACCTGCGGCCGATGCCGGGCGCTGCCCGGGCCGCCCGCCGGCCGCAATTTAAGGGCAGCCGAGGCCGGGCGAGTCATGTGGCGCCCCGCGGCTGCCCTCACACGACATGGCGCCGCGGGGCGGGGCTGCGGCGGCGGGGCCGGGCCGGGCGAGGCCTCGGGGGCGCGGCCAGAGCGGAATGGCGAGGAGGAACCGGCGGGGTTGTGAAGCGGGGCCGGGTGGGGCTGCGGGAACGCTTCGGGCAAGGGATGGAGCGCGGCCAGACGGGGCGGTGCGGGGGTGCGGTCGCGGTCGGAGCGGCTCTGGAGGCGTGGCCATGCTGTGAGGGCGCGGCGGAGCTCGGCGTGTGGGGTGACGCGCGGCGGGCGGGACGGGGCGGAGCCGGCGGCGGAAGATGGCGCGGTGCGGGTGCGGGGCCGGGCTGTGCTGCTGCTGCTGTGGCGAGCGGGAGAGCCGCACCCCCGAGGAGCTGGTACGGCCGCTGCCCCTCGCTTCCCCGGCCGCCCCCTGACCCCCCTCCCCGGACTCGGAGCCCCCCCTCCCCGGGTCTCGGCCCGGCGCGGCCCCACCCAGCTCCGGGAGCGCCTGAGGGCKGGCGGTGAGCGGTGCTGTAGCGCTGGGCCTGGCTCCTTAGGGCTCCGTGTTGGCGCCTCAGGGCCGGTGTTTCAGCCGGCGGCTCCTGTCAGCCGATGCTCGACCCGGCGCCCCAGCCCATTCCTGCCCGATTTACTGACGGGCCTGGCACTTCACCGCCAGTGCCGGAGCCCCGCGCTGTCCCTTCCCCGGCCAGCATTCTTTATCTGGGCCTCGTTCCCCAGCCCCTGAAGCCGGTGTGTTTCGCAGCTGTACGGGGGAGTGGTGCTGGCAAGGGCTGTCCCAAACTCCGGCAGTGGAGAGTGTTCGCTTCAAAATTGTTGTGTTGTGCTCCCCTGTAACTTGTTGCTGTGAAGGAAGAGGGGTGTGGGTTAGGACTTTGCTGTTGGGAGCTCCTATATAGAAGTGATTTAGTGTGTTCTGGTTGAGGGACARGCTGTAAAATAAGACCCTCTAGCGTTACTCCAAAGTAAGTGGTGGTCTGGTAATCCACGCTCTCACTCTATAAGCAACAATGGTATAGGACCTCTGTAATTTTGTCTTTGCTACCAGTGTTCATGAAGAGCTGTACATGGATTCATTCCCCTCATGATTTTCCTTTCCTKCATTTGTTTTGCAGACAATCCTAGGAGAAACTCATGAAGAGGAGGATGAGATCCTTCCACGCAAAGACTATGAGGTGGGGAGTTAACTAATAGCAGCTTAATTGATGTGAAGAGAACTGTAGACAGGTTTTGATCTGTTTGAGTTTGTAATGGGGCGTATACTCGAAATGGATCATTAGGTTGCATTGGCATCAGCAGAAATACCAAGAGTTGCTGAGCTTGCAAAGAACTGCTCCTCATCTTTGTATGTTTCTGTGAGTAGCTTGAATGCCTGCTCTCAAGTCAGACTCATTGAGAAAAATGATTTTCAGAGTTTGGTGCATCTTTCCACTTCTTCAATGTGAGATTTACAGGCTCTGGTGGCCTTGTTTCCTGGTGAATGTAGAAAGCATCTGTAGCTACTTGGTCACAGTTACCTTTCTGMTGTCTGTTGTCTTGCTGGCTCACAGCAGATCTTCCCATGTATCAGATTCTGCTGCTTACAGGAGATTTTTGCTTCTTGCATCTCTGTATAGTGTTCATAAATTAGAGCAGTTTCTATCAGTATGGGTGTCAACAGCCTAGCCTGTTACGGTTGGCTTGAAAAGGTGAAGATGTGGATAGAACTAGTGGAGTTTTGTGAGTGTGACTGGGAAACTGTTGCTGTTAACTCCCTGATGAACTGAAGAATTGGTGTTCATCTGGAGAGGAATTCCTTGCTACTGTTCCTGTTGTAGTGAAAGGATKAATATAAAGATCCAGTGTTATTCTTTGCACTGTCAAAGTGGAGACACTTGAAGTAAGTCTAAAATTGTACAATGTGACTTCTCTAATTTAAAGTCGTATTAATCTGTTGGGCTTCTGTTTGTTTCACTATCTCTCTCAGCTTGGGCAGTGAAATCGTTCYGTTCTTTTACTTCGTGATTTTCAGGGTCTGACTCTGATAGAAATATTTAAATAAAGTTGTTTCCAGGTTTTTTTTTCTCCTCCTGTTGTTTGCACAATCTACTGTGAGGATAGTAATGACTTCTGTAGTCTTGAACAGAGTCTTCTAGACATAATTTTTTTGCACAACCTCTTGCAGCTCTTTCTCTTAAATTGACCTTTTTGCATTTCAGAGCTTGGATTATGATCGATGTATCAATGACCCATACTTGGAAGTTTTGGAGAGCATGGACAATAAGGTGGGACCTTGTTCTTTCTTTTTCTTAAGCTAAAACTTTGGAAATTGTCCAGAGAAACTGTGGATTGGAAGTGTTCAAAGCTTTCTTGGATGTGGCTTTAACCAACCTGGAAGTAGAAAGTGTTCCTGTCCATGACAGRGGGGTGGAATGAGATGAGCTCTGAGGTCCYTTCYAACCCAWATTATTCTGTGATTCTAAATACGCTCCACTGCAGAAAGTTTTATGGACTTTTTCTTTTTTATGACCGAAATTTTTTGTGTTCACCTGGTTTCTCGATCACAAAACAAAAAAAAAAATTGTGGAAATTATAGCTCCCCAGCATTTCTTGTGATCCTCAGGTTTAAAGTCAGCAAGGTGTTCAGTCTTTCAGTTTCCTATTTCAGTTTGCTGTTGTCACCATCTTCTGTTGGTTTATCCCTCTGGCTGTAATTGAGCTGTGGAGACTAATCCCACCTTTTCCCAATCCCTGTTTCTGTGTTGCCTCAACTGTTTTTTTTAAATTTTTTTTTGTCTTCCCAAACAGAAAGCCCAGAGATACGAAGCAGTGAAGTGGGTGCTGGTTTTTGCWATTGGAGTCTGCACAGGACTGGTAAAGGTCATGCTGTTTGGGGAATGAGGAAAATTCAAGAGACTAWGAAGGAATAATTTAGGCATTAGTGGTTAAGGAGTAAAGAACAGGAAACATTCTCTTTCATGATTATGAGAGCTTAGTAGCTGGAGTTCTCTTTTGGGAATTACAGCATGTTGGTAGATTATTTTTCAGGAAGCCTTTTTTTTTCCAGAACTTGCTATGTTTTCTTTGTAAAGTACTCTGGCAAATCCTTTAATTCTGCATCCAGGAAAACTTGTCCAAAGCAAGCGCTTARTAAAAAAGTGTGCCAGTTTATGGCTGAACTGTGAAAATTAGCTCAGTTGACTGTATGCCTYAAACACCAGCTTTGTTCTGTACCCTTAAATATGTTGAGGGTGTTAAAAAGCCTTAGTGCTTTAATGGGCACTAATCAGATGCACAAATGCATCTCTTCAGGAATAATTCTAGGATGGATCTGTCCCAGTGAGAGAGAGGGAATAAATCTGAGTTTCCAAAGCTATTTTACTCTGAAGGCTGCTTCTTTTGGTTTCATCATCTTCTGTTCTCCCGTATGTATGTACATATTTCTTGTAGGACTAGCTAGAGGGTAGTCTTTATTATTTGAAWGTAATAATTGCTGATGGCAATTCTGTGTTCTTTTTGCCAGGTGGGCCTCTTTGTGGATTTCTTYGTGCGGCTCTTTACCCAGCTCAAGTTTCAGGTGGTACAAAGCTGTATCTTTTASCTCAGGCCTTGTTGGACTCAAGTGACCTTTTTCTTTCTGTTCCCATGTTTTGCTCAGAACAGCTGACATTCACACTTCTGCTGTAGGTCATGTTGTTCATGATTAAGCAAGTTTTCATCTTGCTTATGTAATTCAGCTCTTGAACCAAGAAATGTTTCCAGTATCAGGTACATAAACAAAGATAGAAAGAATGAGTGGTTTCCCTTCCTCGTAACTCAGTGTTGAGCTTTGAAAAGGAAGCCTGGCTTCCTGACAGGTTGCATTAGCTGCTCTGGTTGGATGAGGATGCACAGGCTTGGTTCCTGATGCCAGTGGGAGGCCCAGATATTACCAAGTGATTGTGTGTTATGTGGGGACTGTTGTTATTTTCCTTGACCATCCCTGCAGCGGTGGAGGAATGCACTGTGAAAGGCTGCCTTGCACTGTCCTTGCTGGAGCTGCTGGGGTTCAACCTCACCTTTGTTTTTCTTGCCAGTCTTCTGGTCCTGATCCAAGTAAGACTTCAGTCCATTGCTGCTCCTTACACAACCTGCCTTTCCTCTCACACAGGTCCTTGATAATAAGTATCCTTGCCAGAAGCACTTTCTGCCCCAAAACATCAAATAGCTTYACAGTGYTATTTGATTTATCTAAGCAGGSCCTATTGGTCCCTTGCTCTCTTAYGAAATGTTGTTGGTCAGGTATGAARTCAGTGCACCACAGYGTSAGTGTTTCTTTTCCACAGCCTGTAGCAGCTGGATCGGGAATTCCTGAAATAAAGTGCTACCTCAATGGGGTGAAGGTTCCAGGGGTTGTGCGACTGCGGACAGTGATGTGCAAAGCTGTGGGAGTGCTCTTCAGTGTGGCAGGAGGTAAGGAGGGCTCTGGTGTGTTGATCTTGTTGGGAAAAGGAAAGGGAAAAATGCTCTCACTGCTTATATAGGGCACAGAAGGCCCTGTCTTTCTGTTAAAATCATTTTGGTGGTTTGGAGCAGAGTGATGAGCCCTGAATGCATTTATAGAGTAGAAAATAAACAGAAGGATCAGGACTATCAGGGAAGCTGGTGGTTTTCTGAGTGAGCTAGTCAGATGTGACTGTTTGTGGCACAATCCAAGAGAGATAGCTGAGAATTTTCCAGGACATTGTCAGGAGCAGCCTGAAGGCAGTAGGGCAAAATAACCTGGAGAGTTCAGGAGCAGCCTGAAGGCAGTAGGGCAAAATAACCTGGAGAGTTCAGGAGCAGCCTGAAGGCAGTAGGGCAAAATAACCTGGAGAGTTCAGAGTCCTTGTAACAGTTGTTTTTCAATGATTCCCCCCATTTGGAGTGTAAAGTCTGTGCCAGTCTTCACAAACATTTGGGGTCATCATGGGAGCAAGGGGTCAGCACCTCCCTGTGAGGAGCTGCAGGCTTGGCACAGGGAGCTGTGCCATGACATGGGAATGGTGACCTGATCTCTTCTGGCATTGTCAGAATGCAGGGTGGCAGTGGGGAAAGTGTTGCTTCATGAGGTCTTTTTTTCCAGGTCTTTTTGTCGGGAAGGAGGGTCCGATGATTCACAGTGGTGCTGTCGTGGGTGCAGGCTTGCCACAGGTTAGTGCTGGCCTGAGTCACTGTCCTGGTCACGCCACTGCTTTGTAAGAGTAAGTTTCTATCTCCTGTGTTTCTAAATCTTTATTTGTTTGTAGTTCCAGAGCATCTCTTTGAGGAAGATCCAATTTAACTTTCCCTATTTCCGCAGTGACAGGTACTGTACCCAAGATGTGGAGGAGGGGGAGGATGAGTGAGCAGACTTCCTTGGGAGAAGGGTGGTGGGCTGGGGTGAACCAGTCAATTATTTTATCAGTTTCTTTCTAGTTTCCTGCAGTTTCATTCTGCAGCAAGATAATACCAGGGTTTTACTCTTCCCAGCTACTCTGGTCTCCATGTTAATAGATGTTCTCTTTTGCTGCTCAGCAGATCTCTACCCATTTAAAACCTTTAATGTAGGTGGTTGAATGGTTTCATTGTTGGAAACAAGCTCAGTTGCTCACCCCTTATGATTAGGATATACTACAGGGAAGGCTGGTTCACCTGAATGTGAACGAATTCTTGCCCATTCCTCTCTGTAATTATTTCAAGTGATGCTGGAATCCATGGTTTGGGATGGTTCCTCACACATTTGGCAGTTGTGTAGTACCAGAATTTTGCTCTGAGTTTGTGCTCTATGGAAAGAGCACAATTCTGCAGCTTAATGAACAAATGGTGGTGTCTGCCATGGACAGCTCTTCTCCCAGTTCTCACTCCTGAATCCTTGGGATATATCCATAAATGGGAGTGATCTCTTACTTTGTGGAACCTAAGCTTCTCCAGAGCTCTAATTTGCTAAACTGAGATTGTTTTTCTCTTCATTTTAGGGATAAAAGGGATTTTGTATCTGCTGGAGCAGCTGCAGGGGTTGCAGCTGCCTTTGGAGCCCCAATTGGAGGCACTCTTTTTAGTTTGGAGGAAGGTTCTTCTTTCTGGAACCAGGGACTTACATGGAAAGTGGTGAGTGATGAGTCTGACTCTTCCTGTGTGTCTTTTCCTTGAGAAGAGGGCTCCCCTTGGGGGGGCTTGTCCATGACAGCTTTCAGAATATCCTGTCTCTTCCTGAGCTCTCCTGGCAGGAGGGAGGTTGCCTGCTCTATCAGTGCTCTGGAACTACTACAGATCAAGGGCAGAGATGAGTCTGGTACCATCTGGAGCTGTGGGATAGCTCTAGCCAGCAGATTTGGTTTACCTGGGAGGGAGGGCTTTGTACCTGGTCTCTCTGCAGTCTGATTCCTTCCACAGTCAGTTCCCTTCCCGAGGTGTAAGTCTCAAGAAGAGCTGACTGTGCTAATCTTAATTGTGGGAACCTTTGCTTCCCTCCTTTTTTTTTTTTGTCCTACTTCCACAGCTTTTCTGTTCCATGGCTGCCACCTTCACTCTGAATTTTTTCCGCTCTGGGATTCAGTTTGGAAGCTGGGGGTCTTTCCAGCTCCCTGGGCTGCTGAACTTTGGGGAGTTTAAGGTAAAATTTATTGTTATTTCCTCACTCTCCAGTCTCTTGTTAGTCCTGTGTTTCTGTTCGTTAGTTTGGGGGTTTCTTTTGACACGTGCTTGTATTTCAGTGGAAGGTACTTGATGCTTAGCTGCAGTACATTGATATCCTCAGACAGAATTGTTGCGCTTTGGTCTTAGCTACTCAAAATCTCCAGATGTGGAGACAGAAATGTTGGTAGGAAATTGAAGCAACTACTGTAATGTTTTTTTTTTTACACTTTTCTGCCCTTAGTGCTCTGAGTCTGATAAGAAATGCCACCTCTGGACAGCTGTGGACTTGGGCTTCTTCATTCTGATGGGGATTGTGGGAGGCCTTCTTGGAGCCACCTTTAACTGCCTGAACAAGAGACTTGCCAAGTACCGCATGCGCAACGTGCATCCCAAGCCAAAGCTGGTCAGGTATATGTGCTGTCTTGAGTTTTTGCAGGGATGTTTGATCTGGTTTTAGTGTCCCAAAGCAAAAACATCCATCTAGAAGACCCACAGAGTAGGACTGGAGGAAATCCCAGACTGGATATTTTAGAAGTCGCAAAATGAAGCCTCATTTAAGTAGAATTTGAAAGTGAACACTGGAAACCAGGTGTTACAGTCCCTGTAATTTTTTTAATGACTCTGGTGGTGCAGAGAGTTGCAATCCTTCTTACAAGGGCAGTGAGGGAAGCTCTTTATCATAAAGGCTGAACAAGCCAGAGCTTTGTTTCCATGCAGGATTTTTTTGTGTCCTTGTCCAAACAGATGTGGAAGGAAAGCTGATCTCACTTTTTTTTTTTTTTTAAATTACATTGGTCAAAGTCACAATATCTGTGCTATTTAGAGAGAACTGTTGTTATTCTGAAAGTATGTGTTTGCTCTACACAGCTCCTAAACATGAAGCCCAGGTTTAAAAAAAAAAAAGTGTATTTCAGCAGTTAGAAAAGAGATTGAGAGACTATGCATCACCTTGCCCAATCCTATCTACCCTTTTACCCTGTAAGGGTGTACAAAACGTTGTTTCCATTTGAACAGCCTCATTACTAAACCCTGGGGCCTTTCATGTGTGACTGCTGCGTGTTCTCTGGGCAGAAATAGCTCCTTTTTGGGACAAGCAATTAAAAAGGGGAGTTAAGGCAATCCCTTGGAGCCAAGTCATAATTCAACTTGATTTGCATTGTCTCTTGTTCTGATGCTAAGCTGTGGTGACTGCTGCTTCTTGCAGCCTTATCAAAGCCCTGTGCAGAGCTGGGACTGGATTACAATGCTGAGTGTGGCTTCAATATATGGTTTCTGTTGTGTCTTTCAGAGTCTTGGAGAGCCTGCTTGTGTCATTGACCACCACTGTTGTGGTCTTTGTAGCCTCCATGGTTCTGGGGGAATGCCGGCAGATGTCTTCCAGCAGGCACAGTGGCAATGGCACACTGAGCCTGGAGGTGAGGGCTTATGTGAAGATTGTATTCTCTGTTATATTTTTAACCCTGCACAGGCACATAATGAGCTTTTGAGAGCATGCAATCCATGAATGAACTGCAGTGAGAACCTGTGGAGGGTTGCAGGAGTTTAGAGTAATAATGAAAGCTACGTTTTGTACAAAGCAACTCAGGCTCTGAGTCAAGGAGGCCATTGATGTTGTAGGCCCCATCTCTGCTATTGATGTTTGGTCTGAACTTCCCAAAGCATGGCTAGCAGTAACAAAAGTGATATTCCTATTCTGCCCAAAGGCTTATGTAGGAGACCATGATTTTTTAACCCTTTTTGTTCTTTTGTGTCCTGCATTAGGATGTAACAGAGGATATAAATTCAAGCATCAAAACATTTTTCTGCCCAAATGAAACATACAATGACATGGCCACACTCTTCTTCAACCCTCAGGAGTCAGCTATCCTGCAGCTCTTCCACCAGGATGGTGAGTAGTTAGAAGATGGCCTCATCCTATGCTTAAGCTTGAGAGCTTCATCTTACCTGGAACAGCCTTGTCATAAGCACCACAAGGCTAGGAGCACCTTCAGGACTTCATGGCTCTGAAATACTGCTAGTACAACAGAAAGTCTCCTTGATGGGAAGAATGGCCTCCTTTTCCTCTCTTTTCACTTACTGATTGTCTGCATGTGTGTTTGGACTGGGAGACTCATTAGCTGCTGTGAGATGAGCCTTCTGTGAGCTGAGGGGTGGATGGATGGTGCAAGACTCTTGCACAGACCTGTGCCCCTTTAGTCATGATTCTTCTTGTGTTGCAGGTACTTTCAGCCCAGTCACCCTGTCCCTGTTCTTCCTTCTCTATTTCTTACTCTCCTGCTGGACATATGGGATCTCTGTGCCCAGTGGTCTGTTTGTGCCATCACTGCTTTGTGGGGCTGCCTTCGGACGCCTGGTCGCCAACCTCCTCAAAAGGTGCATCACGTGTGCGTGTGAGGATGTGCTGCAGGTGCACCCTGAGCTCTCAGACAGGTTTTTCTAATCTGAGGGCTCTGTGCTTTGCCCTAGTTACATTGGCCTGGATCACATCTACTCAGGAACCTTTGCGCTGATCGGGGCAGCGGCATTCCTGGGAGGCGTGGTCCGCATGACCATCAGCCTGACCGTCATCCTCATCGAGTCCACCAACGAGATCACCTATGGCCTCCCCATAATGATCACTCTCATGGTGAGTGCAGGGCCTTAGCTCTGGCTTTCTACAGACTGCTTAAACATGCTGGCCCTGAATCTTTGTTCCCTGGAGGGCTGTCATAAGCCAAGGAGTCTTGTGCTTGGAGTAACAGCTCAGTAGATCTTCTGTTTGCTCTGCAGGTAGCCAAATGGACAGGAGACTTTTTCAACAAGGGCATCTATGACATCCATGTGAACTTGCGAGGCGTGCCTCTTCTGGAGTGGGAAACAGGGGTGGAAATGGATAAGTAAGGCTGTTTCTCTTGGCCAGCTGTGGGTTAGTGTTTGTGGGGGGTTCTTGCTCAGAAATTACTTAATGCAGGAGGATGATGCTTCATCTCCAACGAACCTGGTTGCTCTGAGGAGCAGCTGTGAGGGGTGCTGTGAAAGGAGTTGTGCACCAGGCCAGCAGCAGAGATGCTGAAGCCCTTTCTGAGGAGGGGTGGATGGTTGGAAATCTGCACAGTGGGTTTGGGACGTTCAGCAAGAACTCTGTGAAAATATTCCACTGGACTTTGCTTCTTGTGGAATATCATCTTCTTCGCACCTTTTGTCTCTTCCCAGGAGGGTTTCAAAACTTTCTATGTTAGGGTTTTATATTTATTTATTTTCATTTATTTATATATTTATATATTTATATATTTATATATTTATTCTATTTCTTCTAGCACATTATTGATACAATGTTCTGTTATTAAAAAAAAAATTAAATCAGTTGTACCATCACTGTTGATAACACAGTGACAGTGAGAACACACATAAAAGGAGCTGGCAGAATTGAACTGCAGCAGACTCCTTCACGATCTTGCTTAGGGAGTGGTTTGTTTCCATGTTTGTTCATCACCAGCATTCTGTGACTGACATGATGCATGCAGCAATCTTGTGTTTCTGTTCCTTCAGGCTACGAGCCAGTGACATCATGGAACCCAACCTGACATACGTGTACCCACACACCCGGATTCAGTCCCTTGTCAGCATCCTGCGCACCACTGTCCATCATGCCTTCCCTGTGGTGACGGAGAACCGGGGCAATGAGAGGGAGTTCATGAAGGGAAATCAACTGATAAGTAACAACATCAAATTCAAGGTAAAGAGTTGATAAGTTGAAGAGTAGAGAGCTTTTTTTCTCATATAAGATGGCCTTGCTTTAGTTATTGGGCAGAATTCAGGTCAGAGATAAGCACCTACTGCAGTACAAAATTTTTATTTTCCATTTCATTCCATTCTCTGGATGATGGTAGACACAAAAGAGTGGGCTGCATTCCTACAGGCAAAAGTTAAGAGGACAAAGTAACCTGTTTAGGATAGACGTAGAAAAGTTTGGATTTGTCCTGTTGGCTATTCTTACAGGTCCTGCAGCAGCAGTGGCTAATGAAAATGTTATGTGATGGCACAAAGCTATGATCAAGTAGTTCATAATCACACTTGGATAACTGTTGACTTGCTTAGTGAGTATCTGAAAATTGTTGTACCCAGAAATCCAGCATCCTCACCCGAGCTGGAGAGCAGCGCAAGCGTAGCCAGTCCATGAAATCCTATCCTTCGAGTGAGCTGCGCAACATGTGTGATGAGCACATAGCAACAGAGGAGCCTTCCGAAAAGGAGGATCTGCTGCAACAGATGCTGGAGAGAAGGTGAGATCCTGGTAGGCACAAATGTATGGAAACAGGGTTTTTCCCTATGTTGAGATGTGTTTTAAAGAATGCTTTATACAGT